ATGTCCATGTGAGCTTGTGTGTGTGTGTGAGCATGTCCATGTGAGCTGGTGTGTGTGAACATGTCCATATGAGCTTGTGTATGTGAGCATGTCCATGTGAGCTTGAGTGTGTGAGCATGTCCATGTGAGCTGGTATGTGTGAGCATGTCCATGTGAGCTAGCCTATGTGAACTCGTTTTCAGGAAAGTTGTGCTCCAAGCAACACTTAGAATTTAGCCATGAAAGTGCATAGAACCAAACTATAGAAAATTCAGAGCTCAAACCTGAATTAGTACCTTATCTCAGTGTTTTCTAATGCACAGGTAACTTAAGTATCTGCTTATGGGCCTCTCTCCAACAATCCCAAACAGCAACTACATCCTTGAAGGGAAGGGATCAGGGATGGGGACAGTGTATCTAGACTCTGGGTAAAGTCCATGACAACTCTGACTCCATTTTCTCTTCATTAGAACGATTACAACTTGTGGACTGCTTACCAGAACCAGGAAACTCAGCTGGTCCAAATGGAGGAAAGGAATGTTTTCTGTGGCACCTACAACATCCGCATTATCTCCGACACGTAAGTATGGTGTGAGGAGTTGGGTCTTTTAGGACCTTTGAAGGCCCTTTAGGCTCCTCCAGACTGTCTTAGGCTTGAGAGGCACTGCCCCTCCCACGAGGCTCCAGGCATATTTGAACAACAAATGTTTGATCTGCACCCTTCTCTGCTGCCAACCTCAACTTCATTAGTTTTGGATATTCTGATCAACAAACTTTTGACAGGTTACACGTACGAAGTCTTTGGTTCTTTACAATTTCACTATTGTCTGATTCCAGCTTGAGAACTAATACGCGAGGATAGGGAGAAAAGTCCTGTAATCCCAGTCAGTATATAAAAAATACAAGTCTCCTGTGTCTGTGTCACTGGGAGACAACCACTAATATTTGTCTTAGTGTTACTATTGCTGTGACAAAACATGACGTCCAAAAGCAGCTTGGGAAGGAAAGGGTTTATTTAGCTTACATATGTTGAATCCATATGTGGCATCCATTGAGGGAAGCCAAGGCAGGAACTCAAACCGGGCAGGAGCCTGGAGGCAGATACTAATGCAGAGGCCATGGAGGAATTCTTCTTACTGGCTTGTTCCTCATGGCTTCCTCAGTCTGTTCTGTTACAGAAACCAGGACCACCAGTCCAGAGGTATCCCCACCCACAACGGCCTTCTCATATGCATCACTAATTAAGAAAGTGCCCTACAAGCTTGCTTACAGCACTGTCTTGTGGAAACGATTTCAATTGACGTTCCCTCCTGGAGTGGGAGATATTTAATCTCCAATCCGAATAGGACCGGTCAATGAAAACACAACTCCGTAATTATGAATATATTCTGTAAGCCTAGATTGGGTAAATACCACTACACTACTCTGTTCCCCAGCTCTGAGATCCTTATAACTTGAGGGTTTTCCAGACCCTGCGTTTGTCCTTCTACCTCCTGCTTCCCAGTCATCCTCTCCTTCGTTGTCTTCCTTCTCCATTGTCTTCCTCCAGTCCCCCTCCAGTCATCCTCCCCACTGCTCTCTTCCACCAACCTTTATTTCTCCACTGCCCCCTTCCTCCACCCAATCACTGGCTCCAGCCTTTATTTTACAAATTAAGATGGGCAGAAGGATCACTAGAAATCACCTGTGTAATGACTCACACCTCCTCTGCAGCCCTTCACAGGAAAGGGGAATTAGTATCAAAATACAAGACCTGGGCTATCCAGAACACCCTCCTCTCAGATGACTCCAGCTTATATCAACTTGACATAAACCTAGCCAGAACAATATTGAACTGTAATCTCCAGAATCATGTTTTTAAACATATAGCACATACTTGAAGGAAATGGGAATAAATAATACATTTCTGTATCACAATACAGTAAAATGCTCTGTTTTAAATATGAAAATGTGTTTATAACAATTGAACACATGACATCATCTAGATATGCCACAAAAGCCTTTATTTATTTTTGTGCATGTATGTATGTATGTATGTATGTATGTATGTATGTATGGCTGGGATAGAACATGGGGCCTCGCACATGCTAGGTCTGTATGTACCTCCCACCAAGTCGTAACCTCCAGCCTTAAGAAAGTATTTTAATAGTTTCCCCCCCCCATATTTTTTGGCTTAATTCCCTTCTCTTTATTCACAAGGTTTGTTGAGTTGCCTGTATCTTATGTTTTGGTCAGCATGAGGACAGCTTCACCAATTGTGTGGGGACAGCTGCTCTTTTTTTTTTTATAATTTATTTTTTCTCAAATTGTAATTCATTCACACAGGGGTTATAAACACAGGAAGGCAGGATGTGGGGAAGGGAATGACACTGGAGTGTGGATGTTCGGGGGAATACAGATATCTTCAGAACCGGGTATCAGCTGGGTGAAGGTTCAGGGGACAAGTCACTATGACTCTGCCTATGACTCACTTGTCCTTATCTAAGTTGGTATTGTCTGCCAAGGCTACCTATTTACAAGGTCTATGACTACTCAGGCTTGTAAATTTCCACAAAAGCTGCCTGTTTAGATTAGCTTATAGCCATCTGTTTCAATGTTTTTCCACTGAGACCCAAGACTTGGTGTTTGTATACATGTATGACAGGCCTATTGCTGATTTTAGGCCTATGGCTGATTTTAGGCCTTCAGTGTGTAAGCAGGGCTGCCCCTGACATCTTCTCCCTTCTCTAAGTATAGAAGGGCTGTGGCAATTCTAAACTTGCGAAGGGGATAGAGGCCTGACCTCCAGTATTTGAAGGGGACCTTGTAATGGCTCCAGTCCCCCTGTCGTTGTCCAGTGAGGCATGAGGGCCATACCCATCCCGATGTCTTTTTCCTGGAGAGGGGATACTTTTGACATCAACCCCTATGCAGTCAGGCTTGGGACAGCTGCTCTTAACACATGTGTAGGGGAGTGTCACACTTTAGATGTGACATAAGGGATCAGGAGGTAAATACCAAGATTTCCTCCTGTTCAAAGCGATTTTTGCCTTCCTGTTTGCTGGAACGTTGCCTCCTTACTCTGCAACGGTGGTGTAAGTAATAGCAGTGTTCTCTTTCACAATTAAAGATGGCTCTTTTTGGACAAATTATTTGATCATGCTGTTCCTATAATGTCTAATTCTATAGTAGTTTTATGATTGGGAGATCAATTCATCTCACCTGGCAGTGGTGGACTGACTGTAAAGCTCATTAAGAGCAAAGGGCGATTCACAGTCTTCTTTATTGCCAGTGGTACCTATTGGCATAGAACCCTAGGCCTAAGAATTGCTACTTGGATACTGGTTAAGGAGGAAAGACAGGAAGAGGAAATGCAGTGCACACTAGACTTCCCAACTATATTCCTCTGAAGTTTTCTATGAGAAACAGACTTCCACGGTCAATTAAGGTTGGCAACTTTTACTCAGACTAATCTGACATTGGGGGATTTAGCATGCATAAGCAATTTTTGAAAATATACATTTACAGTTGTGTTCAGGGTTTAATCCTCCTTGACTCAGACTTCTGTAGAGTGAGCTAGGGAATCATCAGGTCCTATTATCACTTGGCTTTGCCTTCTGAAAGGCACTGAATTTCTTATTACTCCACCACTGTAGACAAAAGTCAGGTGCTATGTGGACCCAGGAAAGATGCTAACTCTTTCCTATAATCTGTCCCCACCCCCTCCTGAAACCCAGGTTTGACCAAAACAGAATCATCCACTATAATGGGGGAGATCTAATGGCTGTATCATCCAATCGGAAGATCCACCTCCTGGACATCATGCAGATCAAGGAGCTGCCCATCGAGTTCCGAGGCCACGCCGGCAGCGTCAGGGCTCTCTTCCTGTCTGAGGAGGACAACATTCTCCTGAGCGGGAGTTACGATCTGAGCATCAGGTGAGAGGTATAAGGTCATGATCATTGTCCCCTCTAGGGCCAGCCAAAACTAGGTAGCTTTTGGGAGAGGCAAGCATGGAGTGCTTTGTTCATTTTATATTTATTTATTTATTTATTTTATTTATTTATAGGTTATCCTAAGTTACATTACTTCTAGAATATCTATAAAAACAAGGTTCTTTTTGCAAGATACAAAATATTTACTGTTTAAAATAGATTTGTAAAGTTATCTGGTGTTGGTGTCAAAAATCAGAATTTTTTCCTGTTTTTTAAAAAATATTCTTAAATAAACATGTAATTTATATATTTAAAAAAATAAGTCCTTTCAAGAGAAATCAGCTCTTTATGGGTGGGAAATATAATATGGAAGCAAAATCATGTTTAAACTGGGTATATTCATATATTTTAGTTTTAGAGGTTTATTTAATTTTTTTTAAATGTGTATTTGTACATGCCTGTGGGTGGGTATATGGCTGAGTGCAGTTACCCTTGGAGGATAACAGAGGATGTTGGATATTCTGGAGCTAGACCACTGTGAGCTGTCTGGTATGGGTACAGGAACCAAACTTGTGCTAATGGCTGAGCTATCCCTTCAGCCTGTCATATTAAAGAATGTAATAAATATTCCTGCACCCATTGCTCAGACTGGGAAAGAGGCCTTCCCTGGCCTCTGAGTGATCTCCTCCTCCTCGTTTCTTTTTTCCAGATAGGTGATGTTGCCCAAAGCTCCATACTGATCACTGCCTTGCATTTCTTTATAGATTTTGCTTCTTGCTTATATATTTTCAAAAATATCAACTATTTGTTTATACCTCTGCTTCAAGTCAAATTAGATGGAACGGTACCTTGAAAACACTTGGTCTTGACCTGGACTCGGTTTAAGACTCACCAGAGGGTGTGTTCAGCAGTCATGACTTATTTGTGTGGAGTCACAGGGTTTTACTGGGTGGATATTTGTGCAGATCAGTGTTTGTATAATTTCTGGTGTTCAGGTCTAGAGTGCTGCCACAGACGATCTTGGCTATGTCACCTGGTGCCTGAGTGTATGAGCTTTGGGTTGTGGTTGTTTTCTTTTGTAACTGTCTAGCTACATAGCCAAGGCTCACAGCAACCTTCCTGCCATAGCCTCCTGAATGCTGGATGCATTCATGCATCACGTCTGGCTTTGTGGTGTCTCTGTAAAAGCCCTGTTTTATTTTATTTCTGCCTTTCACCTTCAGGTACTCAGTCTACCTACACTTCATTTTTGTTATGACAGCCTCTTGTTTTAAGAAGCTCTTCATTTGTGTCCCCAACACTCTCAGCATCATTCATGAAAATAAAGCCTCCCACTTGTCTGCAAGGCTAGCTGTGCCCTAAGGCTTGCATCCCTATCTCCTGTTCCTAGGCTCTCTGTTGTATTTCACTTTTCTGTGTGGCTGTCCTCGCTCAACAAGTGTTTCAATTACTTTGCTTTAAAATCTGTGGTAGGGTAAGTCCTTTATCTCATTCTTCCGTGGCTATTCTCTGACTTTTGTTCATTCCGGTTTATTTTTGGGTTTGAATGTTAGTGAGAGGGAACTGAGCTGGCTGTACATGACAGTTCACACCATGCGGTCATCACCAGTCTGCACGAGGCTTCATTTCTGTTTATCCATCCACTAGTTTACTCTGTTTCATCTCTGCCTTCCCTCTCGCTCCTCGGGGTAATACCTAACCTCTGTCCCAGTGCCTGGGATCGAACCTGGGACTTCACAAATGCAAGGTACTGAGCTCTAGCTATAGCCCCAACCTAATCCTTCTCAATGTGTATCCATCTTTTCTTTTTTGAGATAGAGTGTGTCACTGCCTAGAACTCATCTAGGCTGATTGGTTAGGAAGCCCCATGATCTGCCCATTGCTCACAGTACAAGCACAGGTCACCACGCTAGCTCTTTATTAATTATGTAAGTTCTAGGGGTCAAACTCAGGCCCTTGTCTTTCTTTCTTGCTCAGTTATCTCCCAAGCTCCCTTCTTTTTCTGTTTAAAACTCTTGCTATAGCAGTCTAGTGCACTCTTATTAAGCCTCACAACTCCATTCCATTCAGAACGGCATCATATCCTTATGCTTTCCAGCTGGTTAGAGACAGAGGAATGGTTTTGAGTTTTGTAGGTTGATGTGTGGCCCATGGACTTGCTTACCGGTTACTAGTTCTAAAGTGTACCCTGTGCTGATTTACTTTTTCTATGAAGATGATCTTACCGACGCCAACAGTGACAAGACTCTGATGCCTACTTAACTATCTAGCTATCTAAAGGAACCCTACACAGTAGGATCCTCTGGGCCTTCAGAAAATCTCTAAAACATGCCTTCATTTCTGCAGGTACTGGGATGTGAAAACTGGGGCTTGTGTACGAATCTTTTACGGCCACCAGGGGACAATCACTTGCCTGGATCTATATAAGAACAGGCTTGTATCTGGGGCAAAAGATGGACAGGTAAAAGGTGAGAGGTTTGCCTTAGTTTTCTTTCTTCACCTCATTTTCCATCCTTTCCCCTTCCTCTCCTTCTCTTCCCTTCATTCCTCCTCCTCCACCTTAGACAGTGTTTCTTGATATAGTCCGGGCTGCTTTGAATCATGATCCTCCTGTCTCAGCCTCCTGGGTTCTAGGATTTCAAGCACATTCCACCTCACTCACTCATTTCTATAACTAGCTTTTATTCTGTTATTTGCACATCTATTCATGTATCTGTCAATCTGTCCATTCAACACTACCTGAGAATCACCTGCCTAGGGAATGTTACCACCCACAGTGAGTGGGGTATTCCAGTTGGTTGATGTAATTAAGATAATCCCAAGCAAACATGTTCTGAGGCTCATCACCCATGTGATTCTTGATTTTGTCAAATTAATAATTAGCAATACCATCACAATCACTGGGACAGTAAAGTAGCCACAATCAGAACTACAAAGAGAAAAAGTAGGATTCGAACTGGACTGCCTGGCTCTCAGTCATGTGCTCCTAACCACAGGCAACATTCAAAGGGAACATAGAAATAAGAGTAAATGAGGAAAGGCTTCATCAGCAGGACACGATTTAAGTGTGATCTTAAGGCAGGTAGTAGGAGATATTCCAAGCAGAATGAACAAGGATAGACAGTTGTGCATGGACAGACAGATGGATGGGAAAGATTGTACTGAGTACTTCTAGTTCTTTGGTGTGGCTGGACTGCCGTGTGTGGTGTTGAATATAGGTCTTCTAAGCTGGGACGGATTATAGGGCACTTCTTGCATCATGATACAACACTGAACCTTAAAGCCATAGGTGTGTTTTCAGTTTGGACCTGACATGGTCTAATGCATACTTGAGACAGGAAGTCAGATGTGAGTTTGGAGGAACATGGAAGAAAGTGACTATGTGGAGAGAGAGGAAAAATTAGGACACCTTGCACCCTAGAAAACTGCTGCTGTTTCTTCAGAATTCTTGAGAACAAGCAGCATGAGGGAACTCAGACGGAAGTGGCTTCATATTCAATGGCTCAGGCCGAAGACAGGCTTCCAGAGGGGAAATTGCTAGGACTTTCTCACCAACTAGATATAAAAAGAAGGCTAGAAAAAGCAAGTAATAATGCCATTTAAAAACCCCCAAGCTTCCAGGCATATAAAAACACAATTCATGGAAATAATAAAGACTGTAAAGGGAGAACAAAGTAGGGGAAAACTGGAAAGGTGGTCGTAGGTTCAGTTTTAGACATGTTGAGTGTGGCAGGCAGAGCAAAGATCGAGTGAAAGTATTTACACCTAATTCTTGGAACTGGTGGCTAGATTATCTTATTATTTTGTCCTTGGCTGTGTTCCCCTAAAGATACATGTGTTAGAAGCTTGGTCATCACTGTGGCAAGTGGAAGTGACATACAGCCTGGTTGGGAAGTCTTGGGGCCAACCAGGGGCATTGCCCACAGAAAGGAGTGTGGGACTCCTGGCATCCAGTTTGTCAATGTTCCTACACACATACACATACATGCACATGCATACATGTTTCCACCATGAGGTGAAACAGCTAAGCAGGCCCTCAACAGACAACAGCTGATATTAGTACCCTCAAGCCTTTGGGCTGAATAAAATCTCATCATAAATACACATGATAGGTGTTTTGATAAAGCAATGGCATATAGACACATGATAGGTATTTTGTTAAAGCAGTAACATATAGTCATGATAGGTGTTTTATTAAAGCAATGACATATGGATTAACACATCTTGGGAAGCAAAAAAGATTGTTTTTAGATATAATTAATTAATATCTCCACCTTAGAATGTGGAGATTATCCTGTATTACTAATGGTGAGCCAATGTATTAATGTGGCTCCATAAGAAACAGAGAAGTGTTCTTGACTGTAATCCAATGGAGATGTGACTGTTGAAGAGGGTTGGAGAGGTGGAAAATTGCTGACATGGAAGGTGGTAGAACGGATCATGAGCCAAGGGACAGGGTGGCTTCCAGAAGGCCATAGAGAAGGACAAAGAAATAGATTTCCCCCTGTAGGGGAGCATCAGCCATGGTATCGTATCTCACATCTATAAAGGACAATACATTTATATTTCAGCCAGAAACTTTGTGGCAATATGTTCTAGCAGCCTTCAAGAGCAAATACAGTGAAGGAGAGATTTCTGAGGACTTTCATGTGAGAATTTCCCAGAAATAGATGCCCTGGCCGAGGGCTCTAGATAGGTGGATTTGATGGTTGCTAATTTCAGTTGTTCCTCTGGGTCCACAGGAGACTGACACCAGGAGCTCCTCCTCTGAATACGAGCCACATCTGAGGATACACGTCCTCCTATGTGAAATAGCACAATACTTTTATTGAACACCTGTACATCCCTCTGTATGCTTTAAACCACCTCTAGTTGACATATAATATATAGTACAATGCAAATGGCATATTAATAGTTGTGGTTCAACATTGTTTAGTACCAGTGACAAAAAGTCTATGTGTACATTCAAGTATACAGTGTCTAGTACAGATGCCATTTTGGCCACGACATACTTTGATTTGTGATTGGTTAAACCCGAGGATGTGGAATGTATGAATATGGTGGTGTGAACTCATAATGAAAGATGCAAGACCTAAGTGTGGATGAGATTTCTTCAGGAAAGCAGGAGGAAGGAGAAGAAAAAGCAGAGGTCTAGGGAGTCACTGCCTGCCAGGGATAGGCAGAGAGAAAGAACATAGGAGAGGGACCCAGAGGTGCTCAGACTCAGTGAAGGAAGGAGTCACTCTCCCGACTGCCATATATATCCTTACCCATCCAAATGAACATCTTTGCAGCCGTTGGTTTTTGCAAAAGCCATGGAGGAAACTGTCTAGATGAGGGTTTGAGACAAAAGAGCAGCCACAGCCTGGAAGCCATCCAAGAGTCTTGGTCTCCAAGGTCCCCAGTTGGGGACTCCTGACTAAGTACAAGGTAGAGCTCAAGTCTTAGCATTATGACCCATGGTGTTGTAGGGCTGGTAAGGAAGGCTGCATGCCTCCTCAGAACCTCACAGTGGGGTTGGGACTCCGGAGAGGGCAGTTAGACCCTTACCTCGTGTATAAAATTTGAAGGGCACCAAAATAACTGAGTGATCAAGATACATGTTTGAGTCCAGCATTTTAAAAGGCCAAACCAAGGCTTTAAATCCATAATTAACAAAATACCATTTCGGTCACTCTGTCCTGGGCTGTGGCCCCTACCCTACCTGGTCTTTCAAGAGCTCTGCCACCCACCTGGGCTACCAAAATGGAATAGACTAGGACACCACTGAAGTAACAAAAAGTAATTTCATAGTTTTAAAGTTCTTTGAAGCAAATCACTTTACCAACAAATCTTTAACACCACTCCCCCCACCCCAAGATAGGGTTTCTCTGTGTAGCCCTGGCTATCCTAGAGAAATTACTCTGTAGTTCAGGCTGGCCTTGAACTCACAGAGATCTGCCTGCCTCCACTGCCTCCTGAGTGCTGGGATTAAAGGCATGCACCATCACTGCCTGGCTAGCTTTTCATTTTTTTTTCCCCTGGTGATGTTATAAACAGGACAAGATGTACATGTGGAAAAACACGGAAAGGAAAGCTTACTTACAGTGTGAGAGCTCAGTTCACAATGGAACAGAGGCCCCAGACACCCTGGTTTCAGTTCCCAGCTCTCCCCTCAGTCCTTTTCTAACTTGAGGAAATTTCTGGGATCAGTTTCCTCTTCTGCTCAGTGGGGAAGAGAAACAGTTTGCCCAGAGATGACAAGGGCAGCCCACAGCAGACACTGTAGTTCCTTGCTCAGTGTTAATGCTTTGCAAGTCTCAGCTCTGGACATCTTTCTCTTAGGTTACTTGTTCTGTCACCTCAGGACAAAGGAACTTTTAGGGGCTGGTGAAGTAGGACTTTTGGCATCCATCCTAGAACTGTGGCCCCCACTTGAAGCATCTTGCAGCTCTATTTGTTCACCTATCCTTCCCCTCTCAGGGGCTCTGTGTCACTGCTGATGAGCCTGGAGGGGGTGCCAGCCAGATGAAGGTTCTGGGGGGAAGATTCACTAAGCACCATTTTATGACAAGAAGCAGAACTTCACTGTAATCTTCTCCCCTCCCTCTCACCTCTCCTGTCACCTCTCTTTGTCAGAATGGGACATAGAGACAGGGAAGTGCCTGAAGACCTTTAAACACAAAGATCCCATCTTGGCTGCCAGGATCAGTGAGACCTACATTGTGAGCAGCTGTGAGCGAGGCATAGTCAAGGTGTGGCATGTTGTCACAGCTCAGCTGCAAAAGGTGAGTAGTCAGTGTGCTGGGACTGGAGCAGGAGCATTGGGGACTGGTTCAAAGGACATGAATGTCTGTTCCTCCAGGTAACTCCCTAGACCATCCTCAATCAAACGAGTTATATAACTAGCAACAGGGAAACCCAGAATCACCCAAGGAAGGGTCTCCAAAGACAGTCAGGGTCGGTTAGGATCACCGGCTCCCCCATCATACTCCACACTATGAAACCAGTGGATAGATGAAGGCTGCATTCTGACTCCGAACAGTCATAGCATATGAGCCCCAGGGCCTTCTAAGAGAAGCAGAGGCAGGTACTCTTCCAGTACTAACAGAGTACTCTCCTAGAATATCTTGCTACGGCCCTAGCTGGTGGTCCAGAAAATAACACATTTTTTTTTTCAATAACCTATTCGTTCTTTTTCTAAGAACCAATTATTTTGGTAAAGCAAAAGCAAAAAAAAAAGTGCTGGAAAGGCAATAGAAAATTGTCTTAGTCTATTCAGTATTTTGTTATTCTTAACAAAATACCCAAGACTATAGTTTATAAAGAATAGAAACTTATTTGGCGCATAGTCCAAGAGCACAGTGCCGGCATCCAGTAAAGGTCTTTGGGATGGGCCAAGCCATGGTGGAGAGCAGCAGATGACGAGACAGAGAAAACATGCCAAAGGCCACTGCTTTTCAAACAAAGTCTCTCCCAGGACAAGACACAAGTCCCTGGCCAGATCAATACATTACTGAGAGCACAGCATCACAATGCTATCACCTCTCAGAGGCTCAGGAAGTTTGAGCATTGACTTATGGATTTGAGGATTCAGAATCCAGCAAGTGGATTCTGTGGGGTGCATCCAAACCACAGCCTGTGTCCACAAACATGTCCTTGCCAGATTTGGACTCCTGGCTCTAGTAAGTACTAGTAAAATCTTGCTTGAGGTAGGACCACGAGACCACAGTGAAACATGGGATTTTTTCCACACCGGTCTTTTTGTGGTTGAGCCTCAGCTGCAGGCATTAGAATGCCCCTATATACCCTCTGAGTCATGGCAAAGAGTTGAGGATGACAGTCGGCAAGAGGGACTTCAGGCCTCTGTGCTCTAGGGAAATGACCAGAACAAGTACTTAACCTTAGTCATATTCCTCCCAAGTGTGGAAGGGCCATCTGCCAAGAGGGAGGCATGGGTTTCTCTGGCCTTCTTAGAGGAGAAGTTAAGTCAGCTGAGGGACATGCTACATGAGGAGGCAGTCACGGGAGAAGTGGGATATAGCTTTGGGGTTCCTCTAAAGAAGCCTCCAACTCTGGCCAGCAGAGAAGTCACAGTCTAACTTGAGAGGGTCTGAAAGTACTGGCATCTTTTCTTACAGACTCTGACTGGGCATGAGGGAGCTGTGAAGTGCCTGTTCTTTAACCAATGGCATCTTGTCTCTGGAGGTGCTGATGGTCTGGTCATGGCCTGGAGCATGGTGGGAAAGTATGAGCGGTGCCTGATGGCCTTCAAACATCCTAAGTAGGTGCTGGGAAGCGGGGTGGTAAATGTGCAGTCGTCAGTGGATCGGTCCCTCTGTGTGCTGCTGCTCTAGTGGGGTGGAGTGAGAGCAGGTCTTCCTGGGTAGCCCAGGTTGGCTTGGAACTTGTGATCTTGCTTCAGCCTACTTAGTGCTGAGATTAAAGAAAACATGTGACACACAATAAACTCACATCTGTTAGCTATTTGGTGCACCACCAGATTGTCCCAAATAATGCCATCTCTAAACTTAGTACTCTTGGACTTAGTGTTTATGCCAGGGAAATGTGCTTGCAGAACCTTAAAATGATCCACATGTCAAGGCCTAAAAATAACAAAAGACATTTAAAAAGTTTATACTTCAAAGTTTACGGACTAGGTTCTGTTCCAGGCCTGCAAATGGGTTTCGTTTTTTGATTCCAGTCCAAATTTAGTGCTGATGGCTGCTTGGTAGTCAAAGCTGGGCTCACTTGAATGGCTACTGGAGCCAATTAATGATTCTGCTGTGCCTATGGTTTTATAGACTACAGGGATAATGCTTCTTACCCTCAGTGCATTAAAGTGCCAAGAAACCAAATGCTATATTACTTGATTAAAAGAGTCAGGGGATTCCTTAGGGGAATCTATCTGAGGCTAGTCATTTAATAAGTCAGGCTCTAGATTTCTCGACACTCCGTATACACCAGCCTTGTGAGAGGCATGTGGTATAAGATATAAGATACGTGTATACATCCAAATGCTCTTTGTAGCACACGATAACTACATTATTAGCTGGTGGATACTAAGAAAGGCCTGTGCTCAGTGGATTTACCTAATCCCCGGGGAAGGAAGTCAGAGTGGGGAAACCTTTCAGTGTACCACAATCAAGCTGTGACCTCAACAAGGCAGTCAACTTTATGATGTTCCCTGAAAACTATTAGCTGTATGTTTTTAAATCTTTCTAAATAGCACCTAGCAAGACTTATCTCAATTTCATAATTTGTCATCTCATTAATCCATGGGCCTTCTGTCTGCTAGAAGACAACTTCAGATACTACCACTCTCCATGGATGTCACCACCCACATATGATTCAGATTTGTTATTTACAGACTTTAAATTAGAGTTACTAACTTTATTTTATGTGTGAGTGTTTTGCCAGTGTGTGAGCATGTGCCTCATGTGAGTGCTTGGTTCTTGTGGGGGTCGGAAGAGGGTGCTAGATCTCCCAGAACTGGAGTCCCAGGTGTTTGCGAACCATCGTGTTTGTGCTGGGAACCATGCCCATGAAGGAGCAACAAATACTCTTAATCATTGAACCATCTCTCCAGCCTCATATTGGTTCTTGATACCTGGCAAGGACGCAGAAAAACCATAACTACCTGGAGGATGTGGCTAAGGCCTTGTTTGCAGGCTCTTCCGCCCTTCTGTAATGGTGTGAGCTAGACATAAGTTGCTCAAAATATATTTGATTGGCAGCAAACAATTATTTTATAGAGTGCTTTTCTGAAGGAGTCTAGGGATTGAATTGGTATTCATCTTTTGAATGTGGTAGGCAGTTGCTATCTGGAAGAGGATCTAGAGAAAGGAAACTGATTCAATGCTTTTAACTAAAATTTTGAGTTTTGATTATAGCGTGGGAGAAGGCTATGAGAGAAGAAACCTGAGCATGAAAAGTTGGTTTGACAGATGGTGATCTTATACTCTGGATTTTTATTTTTTAAAAAAATAATCTTCAATGTCTTTTCCACAATGCACACTATAATTAACTTTTTAATAATTGAGACATAGCTTCCATGATATGAAATTCACTTCATTAGTCTATAGCAGTTTCACAACGTTGTAAATTATCTGTAGAACTTTCCATCCAGCAGCAGAAATGTTCCCTAGTTCCTTCCTTCTTTCTTGAACCTTCTCTCTTGTTCTACTTCTTTTTAGTGCTAGAAATTGAACCTGGGGCCTCCCAGCCTAGGCAAGCAGCCAGAGCTACACCCAGAGCTGTTCCTCTTATATTTTCTTGGCCAGTTTTAGTAAAGATTTGCTGAGTTTAACTCAATTAACTTATGCTATAGATCTTATTATTTCTTGCCCTTTGCTCGATTTTGCGTTTTGTTTTCTTTCTAGCTTTAAGATGAAACAGTTGGTTACCGACTGGAGAAATGTGCGTATCAGTGCAATCACATTCCCCCAGGCATTGCTTTAGCTGTTTTGTTTCTACGGTCAGGTCTTGTTATAAAGCCCTAGATGGGCAGTCTTGACCTGCTTCATCTCCTGAGTGCTGTATCTTCATTTTTATCTTGGACCTTTCCTAATCTTGAGCTCTGGATATGTGTGGACATCAGATTCCTGGGAATATGTTCTTGGACTTCTCACTTCCCAGCATTTTTCTGGCTTTTTAGTTAGCATATCATTTGCCCTGCTGTGTACTGTCTAGAACCTCAGGTAGCAAGACCCCAATTATCTACCTGTGACCGTTTCCAGCCAATGCCCCTCAGGTAGCAGATCCAGCACTGAAAGAGTTCTTAGGTAACAAAGATAAGCCTTTAATACAGTCTTCCAAGAAGCCACTAGACAGCACAACTAACTCATCATGATGGCAGCCTGTTCAGTTCCTTCTCCCACCAAGACTGTGGCTACTTTTCTCATGGCTTCATCTGTAGTGAAGAATGGACTGGGGTCAGTTAACACGGCAGAAAACATGGCATTCTTATCGACTCTAAAGCCATTTTCCCGTCTAAACGCTTCTAGAGATACCATAAGCCTTCTGTAGTTTTCAAGGATTCTGAAAAAAAAAAGAAGATTCTGACAGTCGTTTTAGTTTTTGTTGCTGTTACAGAAGGGCGGAGTTTTGTAGTCCCTGTCTCCATCATCTCCACTGACGTAATTTCTCCAAGTAAACTTCAGAAAGCGAGAGCAAAGCGGGAGACATCTACAGGCCAGATAAAGCCTAAAAGGGGTCTGAGCTAGTTTACGACCAGTGACCACCACCTCTCAGGTACTGGACAAAGTTAAAAAAAATCAGTTAGTTTAATTGTAGCAAATATTACATGAGGTGGAAATTAATAGTCCTTTCTGTGGGGTGTGTGTATTGGGGGGAACCTGAGGAAAGGCTGGGAGGTCAAGGTGCTTCTTCAGTGGGGTATACAGCAAGTATCTGGTGGTGTTAGGTATCATAGGTTTCTGACTCTGAAGCCTGTATTGTCACTATAGGCTATACTGGTATGGCTTGAACTATCAAATGTCATAGGAGCCTGGGGAAGTATAGGCTAGGCCCAGCTCAGCAAAGTCAAGAAAGACATAGTAAGGGAAACCCTTTTACACAGGGAATTTCTATCTTCTCATTGTTGAATTACTGCACGGGGCAGACTAAGAGTTGCTTAAGGTATCAAAACGCTCAAACTTTGTTGGATGTTTAAATGTTTGAATAAAAGCTCAGCTTGATATCTTCCCCTACCACCTAAGGAGGGATCCAAGGCACACTGGTCTCTTTGTTCTTTTTAGATATGCTGAGCATGCACCTGCTTTCTGTGGTCTTTGCTGTTTCTTTTTTTATAGTTGTTAGGGCGTTGACCAGTCTTCATCTGGACTGAGATCAACCAAAGTTAAGGCCAAATAGGGTAGATGTCATTCTCTTAACATTTCTGTAGCAATGACTATACTCTGAAAACGCACACGCACACACACACACATATCACACACACACACACACACACACACACACACACACACACATATATATATATATATATATATATATATATATATATATATATATATATGACCTGCTATAGGCTAGGGGCCATGCTATGTGTTGAGCATTCAATGGAAAATACAATATGAGCTGTTCCTAAGAGGATCTGTCTGTGTAGGTGAAGTTTGTATATGCATGAGTGGGAAGGAAATGGAGAGAAATCTGTTTTGTTTCTTCTCCTTCCCCTTCCCCTTCTCCTTCAACAAAGTGACAGATGAACTAGGCCATGGCTGGTGATTTTTGGTTACTTTAATGAGTTACCCAAACCTGGGTGACTTGTAAAGACAGAAATATTCTTTAGCTAACAATTTTGGATGCTGAAGACTAGGCAGTCTTGTCTATCTAGCCTATGGTGAGACGCTCATTGGTAATGTCTTAACATCTTAACATCTTAACATAGTGGAGACCCAGAAAGGACTGATTGCATAAAGTGGCCCTGCTTTCTTACAATGCCTTCCTCAACTACTAACCAGAGATGTGTGTGAGGGCCAGGCCTCCAGTGCTCTAATCAACTTCTAGTGGGCCCCACCTCTTAAAAGTCTCTCTCAACGTTGGTACCCTGGAGACCAAGATTCTAGCATATGAACCAACTAGGGACACGCTCAACCCATAAACAAGCCATAGCAGATCTAGGTGGGTAGATCATGACTAACAGGCTTGCTTTGCATGTGACACCTAACAAGTTGATGTGATTAAATTAAACTTTTCAAGGCCATCAATAAAAAAGGCATTGTAATGATCAGAACTGAATAAACCAACTTGAACCCTGTAATTGGAGAAAGACTGTTTTGGAGGTTTCTATCTGAGGTTTTCCCTGGCTCCCTCCTTGCCCACTGGCCAGCACAAAAAGACACAAGTCTCATGTTAAGGTATAATTTTCTTTAAGGATGTTCACTGTCAGAAGGAATGAAAGTCATTCATTAAAGAGCAAAAAGAGAATCTGTAAATTTTCAGATGCCTGTTCATATAAACATAATCCTTGAGTCAGGCAGTGGTGGTGCACACCTTTAATCCCAGCACGCAGGAGGCAGAGGCAGGTGGATCTTTGTGAGTTCAAGGCCAGCCTGGTCTACAGAGTGAGTTCCAGGACAGCTGAGGCTACATAGAGAAACCCTGTCTCGAAAAACCAAAATGATGATGATGATGGTGGTGGTGGTGATGATGGTGATGATGATCCTTAGCCTCATACTGTTCTTTCTTATATAACAAGACTGTTATACAAGAAATGGTTCTAAAAGAAATTAAAAAAAAACAATTCTCAGCATAAATAAGTAGCTAAGAATCAAACTGCATGTAAAAATAAAATGGCCATCTGAGGTATTAAGTGTTTCTCCCCAACTCCCCCTTAAAAGCACCGTTGTCTTCTGCGACCTGCGATTAAACTGTAAATAAGTACAGAATGAGAATGGTGTGTCTCATGGATGGTACATGATTTAAATCTAGAATTATAAAAGCTGGAAACACTACCTCAAGGTCAGGAACGGCTCCTACCTCCCAACCCCACTCCAATGCTCCAAACTGTTTCCACACGGCAGGTGTTGTCTGCTGTTCTCTTCCCTTCCAGGGAGGTGCTGCAGGTGTCTCTCCTCTACCTCCGGGTCATCAGTGCCTGTGGAGACGGCAAGATCCGGATTTACAACTTCCTCAATGGGAATTGTCTGAAGGTGATAAAAGTTGATGCCAGAGGTGACCCTGTGCTATCCTTCTTTTATCAGGGCAACAGGTGGGTGGTAGGTAGGTGCGGAGGGCAGAGGCATGAGCAATTCTATGTGATCTTTTTTCTTTCTCCTCTGGGACTCTGGATTTATTGGCAGAGTGCAGCAGGGTGTGCTTCCTTCCAGCTTGGCTGGGGGAAGTAGTCTCCTGTGAGACTGACTGGCCTTTGCCCCAGACTTAGTGACCAGGGCCCATGCAAAGCTATGTTTACTCTTAAGTGTGTCACAATGCCCAGCTTGAATGATTTCCTTTAAGTCTGAGTAAAAAGAAACCTGATGGAGACTACTTAATGGAACCTGATCCCTCAAAGGCCATTTCAGCATTTCCAGCCCAAACGAGTCACTTTTCCAGAGTTTATGTTGTAAGTTAAAGTCTTAAATTCACAGCACAGCACTTAGGGAGGATACACACACACACACACACACACACACACACACACACACACACAGAGAGAGAGAGAGAGAGAGAGAGAGAGAGAGAGAGAATTTCAGTTCCTTTTTATAGTTCTAGGAAATCTAGACACACAGAGGAAAGCAGTTTGTTTTGCACAAATGGAAAAAAAAATCAAATTGAAAGAAATGAGTGGGGGATGGGAGGTTTCCCTGGGGTTGGGAAACCCGAGTTCCAAACCTATGATGTGAGAGCAAAGAGTTAGAGGTAGTGGAAGTCACCATGCTTTGTAACTGTCTCAACTATATCCAGAGACTCTGGAGGAGGGCAGGTGGAGCTTTGTGTGGTGGAAGCTCAGCAATGGAGAGGAGGCTTTCCCATTGAGAATAGATTTATTATTATTATTATTATTATTATTAATATCATTATTATTTCAAGGGTAAAATAGAAACACTGAATTTAGATACTGAGCTCAAAAAGAAGAGTGAATTTCCTGACATCTGTGTGTGGAGTGTCTAAGCATCTGTCTTGGGCATCCTAGGTACTTGGATTAGGTACTCCTGAACTGGAAATTCACTAAAGAGGTATTCCAACCTGAGCAGTGGAGCAATCAGAACACACGTGTCCCTTTCATGATTAATTCACAAAGAAAACAGTTACAAAACTCCCCACCCCCTGCCTGATGCTTCACTTTCCCGGCAACACCCTGAACCAGCCCATTTCGGTGGTCACTGCCTGGCCACAGCTTCCTCAGCTTAGGGACTGGATAAGACCGGACTGCCATGTATGCTCTGGTGGGCTCCATGCTCCTGTGGGCGCTCTCTCATTTTGGTTCCAGGATGGTGGCCCACACGGACAGCAGCATTCTCGTGTTCCAGTTTGAGAATGTCAAGTGGCAGTACAGCTCTGACAAAAACAAAGCAAAGAAGAGTAAGGACAAAGAGGAGGAAAGGGACGAGGCCAGTCTTGGGGACGTGCATTCCAAGTCTAGCATTCAAGGGCACAGCCTGAAGGACTCTGTGTCTAGTAAACAGGAATTCTCAAAGTCCCGGGTTCACCTGAAGCAAACCAAGAACCTATCTTCAGGTAAAGCAGCAAAATCAGTGTGATTCTGGGAAATGCCAGGGGGATGAATAGGGCGCATGCACGCGTGTGTGTGTGTGTGTGTGTGTGTGTGTGTGTGTGTGTATGTGTTGAAGGGGAGAGATGAAAAGAATTATTAAGGACATTTAATTAAGTTATTACTTATTATATCCCCAAGAGACAGACCCAAAGTTACTATACACAGAAAAAATGTTCTATACAGAATGTGTTATCCTTAGACTTCTGAGAGAGAAAATGCACCTGAAAATGATAGTTATAAGGAAAGTATATGTGGCTGTGTAGGTGGGGGTACATATACTGTTTATGCTATTCATGACTTCTAAAGAGCAAATCATGTGGGTTATGATATATAAAGCCAGTGTTAAATGTTGTAGGTATGGTGCAGTGGGAGGGGCTGCCTCAGCAGGTCCATGTTGAGGTATCCCTCGCCCCACCGAGGTACCAGCCATACAATGGGTCTGGTATAGAATAGAGTTTATTTGGGGGCATGGGATGGGGGGCATTGAGAAAGGAATAGAGGCAGAGACAAAAAGGGGAGAAGGAGAGAGAGAGAGAGAGAGAGAGAGGTCAGAGAACAAAGAGTCAGAGAGCGCAAAGAGAGGCCAAACTCCTTTTTATAGCAAGCCAGGCCTAGCTGGCTGTTGCTAGGTAACTGCTGGGTGGATCCTAGAAGGACATGCTTACATTCCTCCATTTTAGTTTAATTAAAAAAATGAGAAACTAGAAAGAGGACATGGAGAAGCGGGATCTTTAGCTGCTCCCTGCTGACTTTGGGATGATGTGTGTCTCTGGAAAACCTAAGAAAATGGGGACATTGGTCTGGTCTTAGGAGAATTGGCTGTTTCATTGCTGTCCAGAGACTGTAGGACCATCTGCAGGTAGGAAGGTGCAGGCCCGATAGGAGCATCCTTGAGAGTAGACTAGAACCTCTGTGGGTTGCCTCTCTGGAGCTGTTCTGGATGTATATTTTGAGTAAACGCCTGGACTTAGCAAGATCCTGAAACACACATACATATTAGAGACAGGAAATAAAGTTAAGTAGGTTTGGGGGAAAAAAAAGTTTTCTTAGTCATACATTTGAAACTCTTAGGTCTTGGTGGTTGGGTGAGGGGAGTCCCCAAACCAGGGAACAAGGGAGGAATCCCATCCTCTGGAATAGGCAACAGGTAGAAACTTAGGCTATTGATTGGCAAGTATACTGCCAAATAGGCTGGATGGAGTCTATTTGGTCCATCTGGAGCTTATACATTTACAGAGATAAATTTGTTAACAGCATGAATAGTCTTTGGGTTGAGTTTAGGGAAGACAAAATCCTTTTGTGGAACAAAAGGGGCAAGAGGGGCTTTTTCCCTCTATCTAGAAGACTGAATGTATATTAATTTAGCATAATGAGAAATATTTTAAGTTTACATTTAAAAGACAAACTGGAAAATTTGATGACCTTTTGACTATGATAGTTGATCATACAGACTTAGCATGAGAAACACCTTATGTCTATAGTTAAAAAACAACCAAAGGAAACTTACATTTGTAACTATGATAGTTGACAGTGCAGAGTTAACATGAGAAACATCTTAAGTCTATAGTTAGAAGAGCATCAAAAGGAAACTTAAAATTTGAACTTCTGATTACCAAAGTTGGATCATAGAGTGGCATGTTTTATTAGGATTAGGCTAATTTATAAGAATTCTATTGGTTAATGTTAAGATTTTAAACTCTTGAAGTCTCAATATAGCAGTGGCATAGCAGGGGAGGAAATATGAAGCATTTAGTCACTGGAAACTGAGTTTAGATAAGGAAGAAGCAGAAGGTTACATCTGTGAAAGCTTACATCTGAACTTGTGTGTCCTTTATCGTGAAGCCGGTAAGCAAGGCAAACCTGTCTGTCTTTGGTAAGAGATACGGTAGTCTTAACTACCATATTGACTGATGAGCTAACATGGTAGTGGATTACCTTGTGGGTAAGTAGCTGGTTGTCTGTTTTCTAGCTGCAAGCTGCAGTTAGTTTAGCTGTCAATGTAATCAGAAGTCTTAGAATAATAAATTATAATCTGGATGTCATATATTATTTAAAATGACAGAGGTTAGTCTATAGTCTACCACCTAAACAGTTTCCCCAAGTCCCTGTGGTCTCCACCGCAACTCAGGCAGTCAGTCTGGCCATCGGGTCTAGAAGATGAGAAACTTTTTTCCTGTGGAGGAGGAACATGGGAGAACTGACTCACTTTGTCTTAGGCAATATGAGACATTGAACCCTCCTGTATCTTCTATTTGTCCACAGTTTAGGCTGAGCCCTGGCAATCGAACATCTTTCTCAGTGGCTATCATACCACAATTCAAGTAGAGTCCTTCTTTGTCACTGTGCCCATATCTTCTCAGAGATCTTGGGGAACCACTGTTAGAATTTGGGAGTCTCTGTCATAGTAAGCTTAAATATTTAATGTTATATCTAACAGATTTCCGACAAGATTGAGAGCTAGTTTCTACTAAGCCTATCTGAGTTAGACAGTCTGTTTTTAATTATTTGCATTGTACATTATTTGCATTACAATGAGGTTACATTGTAACTTAATGACAGTAATGACAGTAGCAAAAATAAGGCTAAACGTATTTTTAAAGTAGTGCTCTCTCACCTTTTTCCTGTGGTAAATCTCTAAAGTAGTATTAAACTAAATGATTACAAACCATTTGAAAACCTTATCTGCCCATAACAAAGATGGCAAATAATCATGAGTCTGCCTTCATCCAAGATGGCGCTGAAGCTATAGTGTCATCTGTGGAGGAAAGTCACATGTCTGTTATACCTTGGAATGGAACGGCATTTATCTATAGAAACATGGCTATGTATCATCAGAGAGATGAACATACAAAGAAACAAATAGACATGTTTTGCCTGGTGATCAGGGCATTATGTGCATGTGAAGAAATCTCCCCCCAGTTATGGTTACTGCAGGCAGCCTCTGCCACAGTGCAGCATGGCCTGAGCAACAGGTCTGAGGTTGGTACACGGCTTGACTTGGCTGCTTGTGGATGCAGGGATTCCTTCGCCCACCGCAGCTGGCTTTGAGCTGGTGCAGGCCAGAATAGAAAGAAATCAGAGGTAAAAATTTCCCAGGAAGTAGAAGTTTAAGACTGCCCACTGCAGTAAACAGCTGGTAGTAGCGGCTGGGCAGAGTAGGGACCAGACAGGGAGCAAGAGTGAGTTAAGTCTGAAACAAAATATGGAGGATGCTGTTAGAGTCAAAGGAGCGAGCTATCAAGGAAGAAAGTGGTTTAGAGTGAAGGTAGGAAAAGGGCTGTGCATAGGAAACCTTCCATTTTCCAGACTGCTGGCAAGAGGTTTTTCAAAAGTGTCTAAGTGGTCATTTAGAGTTATTATCTAGTGGGTATTGGGGCCAAATGTAGTGTGTGTTTGGAAGTCTTTAAGACCAGGAGGCGTCCCAGTAGGGAGCCAGGAAGTAGTGGCAAAGACATACCCATTGAATGAGAAGAAAGCAACCTGAGGATAAATATAATAACTTGGTGAGCGAGTAGCCAGGCTAGATTACCAGGTCGACATGCGGCAAACTAGGGGTTGAGCTGTGGGAGAACCATTTACCTAGGCCTAGGATTTTCAAGGAGAGAGAGAGAGAGAGAGAGAGAGAGAGAGAGAGAGAGAGAGAGAGAGAGAGAGAGGCAGGCTCTTGAGAAGAGAGAGATCTCACCCAAGAAAAGAGGTCCTAAGATGAGGAGTTAGTGAGAAGGATCAGTCATGAAGACTGTGGATACTTCCATCTGCAAGGACACCAGAGGGTGGCTACAAACTCAACAGCCCTCCCTTGGGACCAGTGGCCATTTATACTGACCAGTGGGGTAGCTTACCAATTCTTGGGTATTTGGATGGAGAGGACTAGTGGTCTGATGCCTGGAAAGTTCATGCAGTGGTGAAAAATGTGAATCTGTGAGTTTGTAAATCTGAGTCACAGCACCAAATGGCATGTTTTGTAAAGTCAATGGTATGTTTTGTAGAGTGCTACTGCACATTGCTACTGCACATGCCAGTCCATGTTGAAGGCATCCCTTCCCGCACTGAGGTACCAGCCATATGATAGGTCTAGTATAGAATAGAGCTTATTTGGGGACATGAGAAGGGGGGTTGAGAAGGGAGTAGAGGCAGAGAAAGTGAGGGGAGGGGGAGAGAGAGAGAGGGGCCAGCCAGGAACAGTGGGAGAGGCAGAAGAGGAGAGAGGGAGAAAGGGGTCAGAGAGTGAAGAGTGAAGAGAGGCCAAACAGTCCTTTTCATAGCAAGCCAGGCCTATCTGGCTGTTGCTAGGTATTTGTTGGGTGGAGCCTAGAAGGAATGCTGACATGCTAACAGGTTAAACTAGCAAGACTCCTTTCTTCTAACTGTCTCTGTGGCATGAAGTTGGACCCAGGATCTACAGAGAATACCAATAGGTCACCTACAAGCTTATCACACTGCAAGTGACCAGCTAATTTTGGAGAAACTGAGAATTTCAGATAATGCTTAAAGCTTGAAATTCTGTGGGAAAGATCTGTGGAAGTAGAGCTATGACGGTATTCAGACCTTAGAGCCCAGCTACTACCAGTATCAGCAACAAGAATCATACAGCGGTCTCTTGAGTAAAAACCAGTTGAGTTATTGCTGTATCCGCACTACTCAGGTTTAATCAAATTATGTAATGATTGTGGTCTCTTCCTCAATCTTAATCTAATCATGTTTGTAGACATATTTGAACAAGGAAAAGCAAATGCACCACAGAGGGATGAGAGGAAGGAGATGTTAGTAGCTTGGATGATGGTGTAGAAAATCTGGAAGCAAAACTTGAAGCTGAAGACAAGATGAACGGTGACACTTTACTTTTGAATAAGAGCTACAATTTCATACCCCTTCCAGTCTTTCTCGATTAGTTTTATTTTTCAACCCAAACTGCTGCTTCTTTGGGTGTGATATGGTTATGCTTTCTTCAAAGAAAGACTGGTTTCTACTGGTTCATCCTTAGAAGAATCAATTTCTTGTTTCATTACTAACTCATGGCCATGGAGTGAAAGTCTTTATAAGTGTCTCACCTATTTCTTGTCTTTGGCTCCGAACCTGTTTGTTTCCTCTTGTTCTGCATCTATCGGGTTAAAGGCTCAGCAGAAGGAAGAAGAGGTCAGGCTGGTTGGAGAGGATTTTGAGTGTGTGTGGTATGTGTGTCTGTGTGTGTCATGTGTCTGTGTGTATGTATGTGTGCTAAGTGTGTATGTGGTGTCAGTGTGTGAATGTGTGGTGTGTATATGATGTGTGAGTGTGTGAGTGTGGTGTATGAGTGGCGTGCGTCTGTGTGTGTGGTGAGTCTGAGCGTGTGTGGTGTATGTGATGTATATGTGTGAGTGTGTATGTATATGTATGGTGTGTGTGATGTGAGTGTGTGTGTTGTTTCTGTGTGGTGTGTGGTGCATGTGATGAATGTGAAGTAAGGAGATGATGGGGAAGAGTATCAAGTGTGGGATTTTAAGAAATGTTAAGACACTATGGCTAGAATGCCTTTTTGATGTTTCTTGGAAGCTATTGGTAAACACTTCTAATATTTTTAAAATATGTTTTGACTAATAGTGATGTTGCTTTGAAACAAACTCCCTGCACAGACTTGTTTTGAAATGAGTCAAACAATTACACTTTGGTGGTCTACCCTAATCGTGAGCATCCTACATTTGTGCGCGCACACAGCTGTACCTGGATAGTGAGATTCTAGGAATAAAACTGCTGAGCTAAAGGAAAAATACATTTAAAGACTAAAGAATTATTGTCATGGTTGAACATAAAAAAAAAACCCACAGAATCAATTTATACTCCCATTAACATCATGAGTGTCCTCAGCAGGCACAGCAGCTTGGGGACGGATGGCCGAGTTCCTCATGTTGCTTACATGATGAATAAACATGCTATTTGCATTTCCTTCAGGTTGATCATTAACAAATAAAATGTCCATCAGAGTGGACTATGGGGAACAGTTAAACCCAACCCACCACTACTGATATTACACAGCAACCAAGATTTACACCATGAAGATCCATTTAAATATTCACTTGAGATCTAAGCTATATTATCATACAAAACCCACAGAAACACCAAACAACAACAAAAAATCCCCAGAACAATGAAAAAAAAAAGAATCCCATTTTTTTTTTTTAGTTTGGAAGTAGAGGGGAAAATTCTGACAACCTAAGTATCCCAGTTCTTTGTGTTTTTCTAAAACACTGTTCAATTTGCAAAGTAAAGATCAGGGAACATTTGGAGTTTCATCCTTCCCTCCTCTGTCCCTTTAGTGACACTACCTAGTGGCTGAGGGTAACTATATGCTGTGGGTTCAGATTGTTGTTACATTCCAGACCGGGCAACTGGTTTCTCTCTGTCTTCACTGAGTTACTTTTAAAAACAAGGGCCTTGTTTTGCATTTCTGTGAGGTACTGAAGGGATTGGGGAAAAAAAAAAAACCCTGCAAAATGTGAGTGATATAAGAAATCAGTTTACCCAAGAAGACACCTTTGTTAACTTACTGGTCTCAGGTACCTTGACTATGAAGTGGTGATATATAGAAAGGATTCTGGTGAATGGTTCAGATTCATTACTATTTTTTAAAACGTTTTGGGGGACTCTTCTTTAGGAATCTAGTATGAGCCATGCCTCGATAGTTTGCACTAGGCAGGAGTGACATTCTTAGAATGGGGGCCTGATTCTGGGAAACATAATCAAAGCTGGTTAATCAAATGAGAATTGACCTTTGTAGTATGATTATTGTTGACAATGTAGGTATGCTATAAACCTGCAAGACATGTTTTATCGGAGTCATGAATGAGGCGCGAGAATTATCCTCACAGGGACATCTGAACATGCGTAGAACACTGGAATTACATAGGCTTCCTTTAACTGTGACACTCTCAACAATTAGCATAGTCGTTAAGAACAAGCCCTTTCTGCTGTTATCTTCTCTGCTTTCATCTGGGGTGTCTGGCGGCATGCCTTCTGGGCAACAAGACCTCAGTGTATCTTGCAGTTAGAATGGCTTCATCTTTTATGTATAGGTGGTCCCTCCTCTCCACAGAATGCTGACATACTTTTGTTTTGTCTTTGAATGAACAGATGATATGGAAAATTCTGTAGGCGAAGTCAGTCATCCATTGCAAAAGTTCTGGAAAGTCCCTATGACACCTGACCGATTCCTTCTGACTGTCAATGCATTGCAACAAGCCCACAATTCTGAAGACTTTGCCTATCCCCATAGGCCCAGAACTCAAGTCATTGATGCCTGGGGGCCTTCAATTCCATATCCGAGGAAAGTCCTAACTCTCAAAGGAAAATCAGTTCAACACGCAGTCGATCAGCTGCGATCCACCAATCTTCCTACAGATGTGAAACAAACCAATATTCCCCTTGAAATCCAGAAACTTCAGCCCAACTTGAAAAAGTCCTTGCACAGTCCCAGAGTCCAGGCCACTGTACCTCAGCCCAGTCTTATCCGTCCCAAGGTCTCTGACAGCTTAAAGGCTGACGAGCACTTGACCAGTTCAATTGATGGGGCAACGCGCCGTGCAGGCCCCCTGACCAGCATGCAGGTCATTAAACCAAACCGAATGCTCGCTCCTCGAGGCGGCACAGCCACCCTGTCTCTTAAGAAAGAACGGCCTCGTTTCTACACAACCCTTGATCCTCTTAGAATGAACACTGGGTTCATGCTGTTGACTGTGAAGGAGGAAAAAGAATTCGCAGAAGCCAAGATGAAGGAATACCAAGCCAGTGTATCCACTAAAGAGGTCGACCCAGGAAAAGCCAGCAAAGCTGCATGGATTCGTAAGATCAAAGGTCTGCCTATTGATAATTTCATGAAGGAAGGGAAAACAGCAGCCCCCGAACTTGGACAAAATGTGTTTATCTAAACCAGGCTTGGGAAATTACAGCAGCAATTACAGCAAACAGAAAACCAAGTGAGTGTTGGTGTCTAGACCTTTCTTCTTGGGCATTGCTTTGGCAATTCATTCGAACTCTTTCTATGGATCAAAGAGAGGGTAGGGTTACACCAAGACAGCAGGAGACAGGGAGAGGGCGCTGCGTGCATTCCACTTAGTGAGATGTAGGCAAGGTCACTGACCGGTGTCTGTGTGAAGAGGTGGCCATTGGCAGTCAGATGCCACTCATCACTACCAACAGGGTTATTGTTGCTTCCAGAAACTGTTTAACAGTGGCTATCAGGATACTATATAAAAATTTCCTGGTATTTTTGCTGAGACCAAAACTCAGCTTTGGGAAATGATGTGGGGAGCTCAAAAGGCAGACTTGTATTTAGAACACCGTACGAGATTTTACTGGTCAGAACACACTCCATCAGAAGAACACGAAGCGTATTTTCTACCTAACGAGCCATTAATAACAAGTCTATTAAGGCTCCTACTTAAATACTCAGGGGGAGGTGTCAGCGGCAAGGTGGGTAATTTTGAAAAGAGTGGCTGACCAGCTCACTGGTGGATATGCTCACTGAAGGGCTCGGGACCCAAACAAAGAGTATAGTCCCTACACAGAGGCTCAATACCCCAGGCAGACTTTCCCCATCATTACGTTCCATTTCTTGAGGGGGTGGGTAAGGCAGGAGGACTGAGCATCTAGTCAGTTGGTAGTAGGAGGCATCACCCTACTCCAAAAGCAAGCAAAGAAACGTCCCCACCAATCCTCCAAAAACGAAAACAAAAATCCTCCTAACAAGTGGGAAATTCACTTTCTTGTCAAATGTTTTAAAACTTAAAATGTGGTAAGGAATTCAACTTGCATTCATATAAAAAGTGAGAACAACAACAACAACAAAATTCCACACAACCCCACAACACAGGGTGGGTCACCAAAAACATTGTCCAATCAGGTTTGGACATAGGTCATCTGTTCACCTTCACATAAAGATGGGCAATTACCTTGCCTGCTTTCTCTTTTTGGGGAATTTGGTTGATGTTTCTTCATTATTGTAACACTGGGTTTGACTCAGTGCTGGCAAAGAACCAGATAAAACCTGGGGTTCCCTCAATAGAGTCCCTTCAGTTAAGAAAAGGTAGGAGAGACATCGCATAAGCCTTCCAACAGTCTGACATAGTTGAGCAAACAATATCGCTATCATTACAGTTGCAAAGATGGCTTTAAATTCTCTGAATTGTAGGTCTAGGCAAGATCATGCCATTAGCTGGTGACTTAAAACAATAATAAAAACAATGCGTGCCACTTTACTAAACGCTCTGTAAAGCCATCACTGTCCTTCCCACTTTACAGCTGAGGAAGGATGTACATAGAAATTGGCTATATAATTGGTACACAGAGCGCAGATGCACCGTACTGGCCTCTGTTCTTGGTCTAATGGTATGCCCTTTACCGTAGTACCCCCACTGCTTACGCTAGTCTTCTTGTCTTTTTCTTACTCGTTCTTATTTTTATTCCTTTCCAAGGACACATTTATTTCTCAAGTATCTTTAAAATTTAAATCGCAAAAGTAAGACTATACTAAAATGCAATACAAGGTTAAATTATAGAATAAAGCCACGCCCCTCTCAGGGCATCTCCGCTAGTGCTAATGACTCACAATTTGTACTTCAATGGTAGCAAAAATCATTTTCCATTCATAACCCAAGAAACTTCCCTTTAGAACCCACTAAGTTAGCCAACTCATTCCCAAGCATTTTGCTTTTGCTCAGAGGTGCAGCTCCGGCCAGGCTCACGCTTGTTCCGCCCACCTCCGCCTCGGTTCCTACAGAGCCTCTGTGGCTTGGTCCCACCCACATACCCCGCCTCCTCCTGCGCGCGTCGGCCGCGTGGACCCGCTCTTCCCGCCCCGCCCACTATGGATCCCCGCCCTCGCGGCGTGGACCCGCCTATTGCCTTCCGGTCCCGGGGATTGCTCCCTCCCACGAAGCTGCTTCCTGGTGTGCTCGTGACGTTGGCTGCAGAGCCCGCTCACACAGCAGCTGCGTTGTCGTGGCTCCCGGAAGTGGGGGGTGGGTTTGTGCCGGGTCGTCATGTTGTCGCAGGTGAGGGATGGCAGCCGGTCGTCGGTCGCCGGTGCCAGTGCTTGAGTTGGGGACCGGGGTCTTCCCAGTCTCCGGAGGTTGTTGGGTCCGTGTGCCCAACCACTGCCTGAGCTGTAGGAAGGGCAGGCGGGTGGGTAGGAGTGCCGGGCCCGGGCAAATTGTCGCTAGAGGGTTTGTGGGCTCTGAGGGATAGGGTGCACCAGTGACCCAGGAGGCACGGGAGCCTCCTGTTGTGTAGAGGCGGGTCGTCAGGGGAGTGGAGCACACTGGCTGCAGGGATCTCTGGGTTGAGGTCCGGGTAACCCGTCTCCCTATAGCCTACCCGGATGAGGGGGATGGCCTTTAGAACCCGGACACTCACTTGCAGGGCGGTCCTGTAGGGAGAGATTGTCAGAGCCTTGGGTTCCAGAAACTGTTACCACGCTGTACACAGGTAGTCACGATGGTTATCACATTTGTACCCATAGAGATCGATGTAGCCAATTGGCTATCGACTAGAGGTTAGAACACGTAATATATTTTCTTCCTTTAAAATTTTACTGTGAACTCCCATGTAGGTTATATCACATAGGAAGTTTCTTGTCCTGCATTGTCAGGTTGGGGTGTTCGAGGAGATGAGATTTGCAAAGGGCAGCATGGGGGTGGCATGGGTGAAGGGAGAGGTTAGGTTGGGAAAGAACATATTTTGGGATCATAATAACAAAGACGTAGTGACCTACCAAGAGTCTGAGGATGGGCCAACTAGAGAAGTCTACTTTGTGGAAATGTGGAGTAGAGAAAATCCGTTGGTGGTTTCAACTCAGCCCTCTGAAGGTGCAAGGAGGCTGGGGAAAGACAACCATGCCACCTCTTCCTACTCTGAAGTCTGTGACCATGAATTTTCTCGATAAGCCCTTCTGTCTGCTGGGCATTTGACATTTTTATAGTCAGTACCTTCTCTCCCCCAGGCAACCTGTGCATTAAAACTTTTCTGCTGACTTAAACATCTATTCCCTTGGTTTTTTGTTTTTTTTTTTTTTTGTTTGTTTTTTGGGGTTTTTTCTTTTTTTTTTGGTCTGATAATTTTGCTTCTTATTTCACCAAGAAGCAGGACCCCACCCCCAACCCGGACCCACGATTTTCATACCACTCCCCTCCCTGCATCTTTGCTAATCACCCACAGGTCCTTCTGTGCATCTGTGGTACTCCGTTGTTGGGTCGAAGCTGATGCATTAGTTTCACCTTTGCTCACTGGGAAGCGTTCATCAGTTGCACTGTTAGTTGCCTTCCATTTCCCCTCTTTGGAAAAGCTTGTTGGTGTTAGCTCAAAGACATGCTTTAATTTCTTCTATTTTTTTTTCACCTGTCTCCAACTGATTATAACTGTCTTGACTCAGCCTTTCAAGTGCTGGAATTGCAGTCACAAGGGGCCACACTTATACTTTCTATTATCTTAAAAAAGTTAACATCCTCACATGACATCTCAAATATCACCCCGTTCCTTGTTCTTGAAACCCATGTGCATACCTGGGATTCTGTCTCATCAGTTCTAGTTGGGAATTCTTCTCTGTTCCCTGCTGTTCTGTATCTTCTCGTGTTTTTCCATTACTTTATTTATTCACTTTACATCCAGATCTGTTCTTAGGAATTCACAGAAGGGTGTTAGAAACCCAGCAGTCTTTTGGGAGTCATCTTAGGAGCAGCATTCTTCAGGTGTTGGGATCCTCCTGGGAGCACTTTATCCCTCTTCCAGAGTGAGAGGTTTTATATATTAGAACGCTGCTTGAAAGAATAGGAAGAAAATGATAGAACAAGTCCTAGAGGCATGATGGTTGTTATTTAGCCTCAAATAAGAGAAAGCATCGTGAGGAGTCATAGAAACAGGATGCAGTCACATAGTTTTGTGAAGGAGCCAGAAACCATTTTAAGTGTATCCCCAATAGCTTCAGTTTTTCTCCGTGACTCAGGAGAGAGTAGCTGACAATAGATGTTCGTGTTGGGGAGCACCGTCTGCTCCTCTTTGTTCTTTCAGGGCTTAGGCTGGTGTTAACTGATTATTAGATTCTCACAGAGGGTTTTCTTCAGATGATTGGAGTTGGAGTAGAAGGTCTGTAGGTCCCTTTTTTCCTACACGGTGAATTCCTGGTACTTGTAACTCATGTCTTCGCCTTCCATTTTGAGGATTGTGTAGGTTTGTATGTAGTAGGCACACAAGCACTGAGTTTCCTTTTTACCATAGATATTTAATTTCCTAACAGGACAGTAATGATGACACTGAAGATGTCTCACTGTTTGATGCAGAAGAGGAGACGACCAATAGATCAAGAAAATCCAAAATCAGGTACAAGGTTAAGTTGGAGTTCTGTTACTATCTATTCGGTCCAGATCTTGGTGCTTGCTGATGGGATTTGTGTTGACATTTTTTTGATTTTTTTTGTTTTTGTTTTGTTTTGACACAGTCCCACTATGTAGACTTGGCTGGTCCAAAATTCATAGAGATCTTGCCTGTCTTTGCCTCCTTAGTGCTGAGATTAAAGGTGTGTGCTATCATACCCAGCTCCCTGTGTCTCACTTTTTGATATGAAAAACCATCTGACAAAATCAGAGAGAGGGAGAGAGAGAGAGAGAGAGAGAGAGAGAGAGAGAGAGAGAGGTAGGTAGGTATTGGGAAGTTTCAGTACATGGTTGCAGATGACCCATTCCTCCTGGCTAGGCCCGTCTCTTATGGTTTCCCACACCTCAAACACCAGTACTACTGTCTAGGTGGTGGGACGGGTTGCCTGAGCTTCAAGATGAGGCAGGGTAGGTTAGGCATGCTTGTGAGTTATATGCTGTTGATTTGACATATTATGAGGTAGAGGTAACTTGAAATTAGTAGTTGGCATGTAGATCTTGTTCTTTCAAATTAGCAAACCTAGAAATCAGTTATTTGAACAGTGATGTTTTAAAGTCTGTGTTGACTGCTGTTTTCTGAGAATACACATTTCTTTATGTGATTTTTTTTAGGGGACAGGGTTGAGAACTCAAGGCCCTGGGTTCAGTTCTCAGCTTAAAAAAAAAAAGACAAATCACAAAAATAAAGAGGCTATAATTTCTGTAGATACATTTTTGATTTCTTTTGTAAATTTCAGAATTATATCTTGTATATATAAGTAGCACAAAGTTAAATGTACATCTAAATGTATTTTCTGTAAAGAAATAAACTTAAGTAAACATTCTACTTGAATCTTGAAAACTCTGTGCTAAGTGAAGGTGCTGGTCACAGGAGACAAAATATTGCGTGGTTTTACTTAATGGAGTGTCCATAATGGGTGAATCAATAGAGACAGAAGATGATTGGTTACTTAGGACTGAGGGGGTTGGGAAGAAAAGAGGGATGATTGCCAGCGGGGACAGATTTGCTTTTTGGAGTAATAAAACGTTGTTAGATTGTGGTGATGGTCACACCACTGAATATATTTTAAAAATTCAATTTACAAAAACCCATGCATACTTGTATGATGATGCTACATGTACTCCTGGAGGCAAGGACAGGAAGAGTATGAAGTTTAGGGTAGCCTGAGCTACCTAGTGAGACCTTATTTGTCACAAAGGGGCAGGGGGAGAAAAAGGAAGACACAAAACTGTACGGTGACTTTGCCTTAGTGCTTGAAGTGATTTCTCACTCTGGGGCCCTTGTGACGTGATTAGATCATCTAAGCTGGTAAGGTCTGTTTTGATAGTTTCTACTCAATGAGGTGCCAGAGTCAGCTCATGTCATAGATTTTCTTGTGACAGTAGAACCTAGTTTAGTGGTGGGGCTCAAGGGAGAGTAAGCTGTTAGCCTTCTCCTCCCCTTACTCATGGTTATGGGGCTGCTAGCCCTTGCAGTGAGGCGTAACCGTGTTGCTGCGCCTCGACTTTTAGACACCCAGTGGCGTCCTTCTTCCACCTGTTCTTCCGGGTCAGTGCGGTCGTGGTCTATCTCCTCTGCGAGCTGCTCAGCAGCAGCTTCATTGCCTGCATGGTGACAATTATCTTGCTGCTGTCATGCGACTTTTGGGCAGTGAAGGTAGGTCCTGTTTTTATTTTAAAACTGTATTTAATACGAATTCGAATAAGGAATAAATGGAAAGGAACAGGACAGCATTGTGGATTGATGCTAATTCGTCCATCACTTTAGACCTTCTCTGTGTTGAAGTGCGGGGTGCACCTACCTGATCACATGAGCACTGCTCAGTCGTGGTCCCCTGTGCCAGTCTACAGAATATCACTAGCAGCCATAGAATCTACATATTTTATTCTGATGCCATTTATGAATATTCTGGGTATAGTTTCTATGTAAAATTCCAATATAGTTTGCAGATGTTTAAGAAGTATCCTTGTTTGTTTGTTTGTTTGTTTTGTAAAAGCTCCAGGTACTTGGGATCAGTCTTCACAGCAAGGGGCAAGTCTGCCTCCATAGGATATTTTTCAATGTCTGAAGCATTTTTGATGCTTACAAATAGGGTTGGAAGTAAGGGCACATTTGTTTCAGTAGTAAAAATTATACTCTTAAGGAAATAAATATTGGTTAAAATCCCATTCTGAAGATAAGATTCAACTGAAACAGTGACATTAGATAACATCAGACCAATTCAGACAGAAAGAAACTTGGCACTATACGATGAGAAGGACTAGGGCCTAGGATGGGCATGTGCTGTATGCCTGTAATCTTATCACTTGGGAGGCAGGAGCAAAAGGACCACAAACTCAAGGCTAGCATGGTCTACATAGTGAGTTCTACGTTAGCTAGGGCTATGATATGAGACCCTGTACTGGCTAATTTTATGCCAACTTGACACAAGTTATCAGACAGGAGGGAACCTCAGTTGAGAAAATGCCTTCAAAATATTGGTCTGTAGGCAAGACTGTAGGACATTTTCTTTGTTAGTAATTTTATCAGGGAGGACTCAACCCATTATGGGTGTTGCCTTCTCTGGGCAGATAGTCCGGGGTTTTATAAGAAAGCAGGCTGAGCAAGCCATTAGGCAGCACCCCTCCATGGCCTCTGCATAAGTTCCTGCTGCCAGGTTCCTGCCCTGCTTGAGTTCCTGCCCTGACTGCCTTTGAAGATGAACTATGACCTGGACGTGTAAGCAGAATAAACCCTTTCTTCTCCAAGTTGCTTAGGTCATGGTGTTTCATCACAGCAATGGTAACTCCTAACTAAGACAGACCCCATCTTAAAATTAAAACTAGAAAGAAGGAAGAGAAGACCTAGAAAGGAAACACAGATGTGGAGGAAGGACAGGCGTTCTGTCTTAGGAAGAAGAAAGGGTGCTGCTCTGGGCTTGCTTGTTGTTTATCCTATGAGCTGCATGCACCCTGTCTTGGCATGGCCATTTTTGTTTACTCTTTAGTCAGGCCTGGAGTGTAAGGGTTAACTGGTTATTCTGGGGAGAACTGAATTAGTGAAAAAGTACACCAAGATGGTATTTATAATGTTTTAAATAATCGTTTAAAAATGTATGTTCATATTAATCTCTCCCAGAATGTCACAGGTAGACTAATGGTCGGCCTACGTTGGTGGAATCATATCGATGAGGATGGGAAGAGCCACTGGGTGTTTGAGTCCAGAAAGGTAAATTAATAAAGTGTGTGCAGGTTCCTTCTGGGTACTGAAGGGTGGAGGAGTCAACGCTGAGAGCACAGTGCATATCACTTACCCCCTTAGTATGAAGTCAGGCAGCCACCAGAGCACAGTGCATTTGCTGCCTCTGTCTGGAAACAAGGCAGACACAGGCCAGGATCCTGAGAGCAGGGCAAGCTGCCTGTTGGCCTGCTGATGAGTCTTCCTGGTCGCCCTCAGCTCTGTTGCCTTTGCTGGGCATCATCTTGGATCTGTCTGTGTTCAGCAGACACTTCCTCCTGTATTTTTTTCTGTCTTTGCCCCCATGGTCATTTCCTATTAGGGAGAAGATTGCAGCTGTGTACAGGGTCAGAGTGATTGTCTGTTCTTTAAGCCGGTGCCCTCGTAACTGGGGAACCTGCTTGTTTTGGATCACCCTGCTTCCTAATAGTGAACGGTTCACTTTCTTGTGGAATTTTCTTTTGGAGACAGATAAGAATCTTGGCAGTACTACCAGTTAAATGGTTTGCCCACTGCTTAGAAGAACCTTTCCGAGTAATACTTCCCAGAAAGCGACATTGTGCTCACTGAGCTTGTATTCCAGTCATCAAATCTGCCTCGGAAATAAACTCATTTCCTTGTCAATACCTGGGTTTTGCAGGGACATGCAGTCTCGGAGATGACTCTGCTTTCTGTAACTCTCACCTTTCTTAGAATGAACGGCACTAGTGCAAGAAGAATTGAGTTTCATGGCTGTGAAAGGCCTTGTCTTCCTGTGAACATGCAAAATTCTTGAGCCAAAACAAAGTCTAATAATTCATTTATTAAGGTTGTTTAGTGGCAGAGCCACTAACTTGTGTATTTGGTGACCCTAACTTGGGTCACCTCTATTAAATTTTGAATTTAAGTGCCATGTGTTCTCTGTTTAAAAAGTGATTTTTACTGATAAATCTGACATCAGTGGTTGAAATGATGCTTGTATTGTTTGCTTTTGTAGTCAACTCCTCAAGACAACAAAACCATTTCTGAGGCCGAGTCAAGAATCTTTTGGTTAGGACTCATTGCCTGTCCAGTCCTATGGGTGATCTTTGCCTTTAGTGCCCTCTTTTCCTTCAGAGTGAAGTGGCTGGTGAGTATCAGCGTTCAAGGATAACTTGTTAGTCATCATCTGACCCATCCATCTGGCCTGTACTGACTGGGCAGCTTTGTCTTGTATTTTTGAGTTCCAGTCTTCAACTCTGTTTTCCCCTGACTATGGGCCACACGCCAGCTTCCCTGGTATCAGTGGTGGTTGTGGTCTTTTAAGGAAACTGGTTGGTAAGATCTTCTGCTTGGTTATTTTGCTAGTAAATCACCCCAGACCACAGGAGCTTAGAACAACTGTCAGCTGTGTGCTGGCTTCATGGTGATTGGGTCAGGGCAACCCATGGGGTGTCCAGCTCACCGTCTGAGTCGCCTTGTGAACTCATTGTCACTGTTGCTGGTGCTCACTGGGGTCTTCTGGACTCAGGAGGATGTGGAAGAGCATGAGAGACAGAAATACTATTCCCGCTGTGTTTGAAACTTGCAGTTGTCACCTGAGCCAAACCGAGTCTCGCCTCTGTAATAGTTGAGTTTGCTGTATTTGACACTCACAGGCTCCATGCATTGTACCCTAACTGGATTCCCGCTCCCCAGGCGTTAGTGTCTCCTGTCCCTGTTTTGCTGTGACATCTTGGTTTTGTGTGTGTACACTCATATTTTCCTGTTACGGTGTGGTAGTTTTGTTTGTTTTTACTTTGTAATCATCTCTATATACTTGTATCTAATCTTTCGCAAATTAGACGATGTCTTCGGTGTTTATGGGTTTCTGCCGTATAGTGGAGACAGCATTTTGACTTGTGGTTTTAATTTAGGCATAGTACTTTTCTTTTATCACTCCGAGTACTAAACTTGGGTGTTTTTACTGACTTAAAGTGGTGGTTCTCAACTTTCTCAATACCGTGACCCTTTCATACAGTTCCTCATATTGTGGTGAGCCCCAACTTTAAAATTATTTCCATTGCTATTTCATAACCAGAAGTTTGCTACTGTTATGAATCATAATATAAATATCTGCTATGCAGCCCTCAAAGGAGTTGAGACCCACAGGTTGAGAACCACTTACTTAAAGACTTGATGTAGATGAAAAGAAACACTCCTGTCCCTGTGATAGTCATTAGTTTATTTCTCTTGGAGCTTCTTGCAGAGTGGCACCAGACTGGTTCTTTCTCTGAGCAGCAGCTCTTCTCTGTGTTTACTGGCTGTCTTAGTTAGGGTTTTATTGCTGTGAAGAGATACTATAACCAAGGCAACTTCTAAAGAATAGCATTTGGTTGGGGCTGGCTTATAGATTCAGAGGTTTAGTCCATTATCATCAAGGTGGGAAGCATGACAGTGTCCAGGTAGACATGGTGCTGGTGGAGCTGAGAGTTCTACATCTTGATCCAAAGGCAGCCAGGAGAAGACTACTGTCTTCTAGGAAGCTAGGAGGAGGGTCTCCAAGCTCACTCCCAAAGTGACACACTTCCTCCAACAAGGCCACACTTCCTAGTGGTACCACTCCCTGGGCCAAGCATATTCAAACCACCACACTGGTTTATTTGTTTTTCTTAAAAATCTTCTTGTGGGACAGGATGACAGCTCAGGCGGTAAAGTGCTTGCTACTCAAGCATGGGGACTTGAGTTCAGTCCTGAGCGACCCATAAAAGGCTGGTGCAGCAGTGCATATCTGTAATCCCAGTACTGGGGAGACAGAGACAAGAGGGTCAATCCTGCAGGCTTACTGCCCCACCAGTTTAGACAACTTGGCAAATTCTGGATTCAGTGAGAGGCTCTGTTTAGAATCAGGAGGAGAATGGGTAGGAAAATACCCATCGTTGACCTGAGCCTTTACATGCATGTGTGTGTACCCACACACATGCCTACAGACACATGAACATGAGCATACAGGCACTACACACACATGTGCACACACATACACAAATAGAATTATAAACATCTTAAAAGCCTACTTGTTGCCTTTCAAGGAGAGGGAGGTTATGATGTGTGACTTCACTGTCCATCTTCAACTTAGAAATTCATTTTAAAGCCGGGTGGTGGTGGCGCACGCCTTTAATCCCAGCACTTGGGAGGCAGAGGCAGGCGGATTTCTGAGTTCGAGGCCAGCCTGGTCTACAGAGTGAGTTCCAGGACAGGACAGCCAGAGCTACACAGAGAAACCCTGTCTCGAAAAACAAAAAAAAAAAAAAAAGAAAAGAAATTCATTTTAAGGTTTATCTTCATTTAATATCGTGCTTCAGCAGGATCCGTGCTCTATCGGTACGTGGATTTGCCCCATGGCATGCTGGCACATAATGCCCAAGAGCATCCCAGTGTGCACTTGGGAAGTTGCTGGAGGCCACGGAAGTAGACATGAGGTTTTGCATTTACTTAGGCATCTGGCAACTGTCTTTGATCTCCTGTGTGTTTCCACGAACTGTAAGATGAGAACAGAGAGTGTGAGCTCTGCTTCTGTTTGGTTTTCATTTTAATAAAGTTCTTTCAGACTGCTCTTAAAACACATAAGCTAGTCAGTCATCTTCCAGTGTTTCCCACCTTGGCCGGTTATTTCCAGGTTTATATATACATGTTTTCTTTTTCTTTTTATTTAAGTTACTGGCTTATGTTCCTTGTATAGTGATAAGTTTCATAAATATATTTTAATTGAAATCTTCTTGTATTTGAGAGATTCTTTCTTCAAGTCCTCTTGGATGCCTCCCTCCTTCCTTTTATCCCCTTTACTAGAATTTTAACCAATTCTTTAGTTAAACATTTAAATTTTGCTTAAAACTGGTCATTCAGCTTGCCATGGGTCAAGGGGAGAATGATTTGGGAATCAGCGTCCTGTCTCGCTGATTTGGTTTTCACAGAGGTGTTTCCTGTATGGACTTGTTGCCAGTAGGACTGTAGAGCAGGGCAGGCAGGCTGTGGATTTCAGGCTTGTTCGGCACACATCTGTTCTTGCACACTGCTATTAAAGCACAGCTTGGTCTTTTTGCATGTGGCCTACAGCTACTTTGGGATTAAAAGTGGTAGAATTGAGAAACAGTAGAATTGAGTAACAGACCTTGATTTTTGGCCCATGGGGTCTAAACTGTTGTGTTGTTGACAGAAGTTGTTTGCTGATTTTTGTAGAGTATTTAATTGTAGGACATCAATTTGTCAGTTGATTATTCTTTTTAAATTATGTTTAAGAGTGGACATGAGTCTTCTGTCTCCTCTGAGTTCTAGGTGTCTGGGGTGACCCCAAAGTCAAGCAGCTTTGCACAGTACATTCCTTCTGCTCTGAGAGAGCAGCCTGTTCCTTTCCCATGAGCCAGCTGACATGTGCTCTCTCAGTGTGCTGCATAGATCTCTCTGAGAGAGACTATGAGGCTGACTATGGATATTGTAGTTAGTGTTTGTTCCCTACAGTTTCAGGCATTTAGAACACATGGTTGCCAGTTGGTGGCACTGTTTGGCAAGGGCTTTCCTGACCAGATGATAGAGTTGTGGCTGTGCCAGAATAAGTGTGTCACTGGATACAGGCCTGGAGAGCTTAGGGCCTCACCCTACTCCCAGTTTGCTCTCTGCTCTGGGCTTGCGGTTTGGGGTATGAGCCCTCAGCATGTGCTACAGCTGCCATGCCTTCCTGAGCTCCTGCCTCGCCATCACCAACTCCAACCCTCTAGAACCATAAACCAAGATAAACACTTCCTTCTGTCTGCTGTCTTGGCCGTCATGCTTTATCACAGCAGCAGAAATGCAGCTACAAGTATGGATGGAAATGGCGACTCCTGGTGAAGATCAGTGCCTTGTACAGAGCAGCATCTGAGAGGTGTCCTCTGCAGGCTGAGGAGTGTCATTGGTCTGACCTCTGACCTGCGGCACTTCCTTTTATCACCATAGTCTACCTGGTCTCATTTAACGAGTAGAGACAAGTCGGTTTGGGGCTGCTAACTATTGCTTGTGTCCCCTCTCCTAGGCTGTGGTGATCATGGGTGTGGTGCTGCAGGGTGCCAACCTGTATGGCTACATCCGGTGTAAAGTGGGCAACAGGAAGAACTTAACCAGCATGGCCACGTCGTACCTTGGAAAGCAGTTTCTGAGACAAGTAGGTGTTCTCTAGATGTGGTCTGTGACTGACAGAGTGATGTCTGACTCTTGTACAGTTTACTGTTTTTCAAATGCTTGTTTTAAATCACTTTTAACGTATGGACGTTTTGCCTGTATGTCTGTAAACCACATGTGGTCAATGCCCACAGAGGCTAGAAGACAGCATTGATTGGATGTCCTTGAACTGGCATTTCAGACAGCTGTGAGCTGCCATGTGGGTGCTGGGAATCCAACACTGTCTCCTCTGGAAGATCGACTAGTACTCTTAACTGCTGAGCTGTCTCTCCAGTCCACCAAATGCTTTGTGGCTCTTTAAGTCCCTCAGTTATCTAAGCATGAGTCAATGGCAGAGATATTTTACTTGCTCTTTGGAGGCTTTTAGGACATCCCAGAAATTAGTTCTTGAATTACTGTGAAACCAAGAGAAATAAACTATTATTGGGAATCACTCATTTTCACAGATTATCTCAAGTTCAGCTGCTTTTTCATTAATGATGGTTGCTTTAAATGAAAGGTCTTGAAGAATGTATATTGCATAGTTTCAAGGTTTATAAGCACAAATAAATTAAGAAGTCAGACCTTATTAGTGTTGCCTTAAAGTACTCTCCCTGCTCAGAACACAAGGTTTGTTTGTTTGTTTATTTTATTTGGGGTGTGTATGAGTGTTCTGCTTGGCATGTCTGTGTACCATATTGTGCCTGGTGTCCACAGAAGCTAGGAGGGGGCATCCAGGAGAATCCTCTCAGACTAGAGCTGTAGATGGTTGTGAACAACCATACAGGTGCTAGGAATTGAACCATGGTCCTCTGTAGGGGCAGCCAGTGTTTTAACCCATTGAGTCCTCTTTCCAGCCCCACAGAGTTTATTTTACAGTTCTTCAATACGATGGTTGAAATTAAGGTTTTCAGTGGGATAATGAAGCAGTTATGGTTTCAAGTTTGTTTAAATGTCTTGGGAAAATCCACTAGGTTTGTACGTGAATACCCTCAGTGAGGTTTAGTGTAGTGACACTATTAGAAAGGACAGTGGACCTCAGATTCCACCCGAGAGGTTTCTTACTCAGCAGATGTGGGGATGGTGTCATGGTTAGCATTTCTAACAAATCGATGTCCAAGCATCACAGTGAGTAACAAAATTCCTGGGAAGTGAAGCGCCTTGCTCAGGTGTGCAGATCCCAGTGGCCACCTGTGCTCTGTGTTATTGTTCATTTCACTTCCCAATTTCTTGTTATAGATGGTGAGAAGTAGGGAGAACAAATAGTCTTTTTAAATTTCTCTTGTTTATTGTTGTGTGTGTGTGTGTGTATGTGTGTGTGTGTGTGTGTGTGTATATATATATATATATATATATATACACACACACACATATATACAGGGTGTATGTGTGTGGGCATGTATGTGCAAGAGCATGCATATGGAGGTCAGAGGATAACTTCAGTTCTCTCCTTCCCCCATGTGCGTCATGGAGCTCAAGCTTAGATCATCCAGTTTGGTGTCGTACGAGGCACCTTACATGCTGAACCACCTTAGGGGGACATGATTTTCACTGTTGGATTTTTACATGGCTAACGCTATGGTCCACTTGTGTATGCTTTAGTATTGTGGGATTTTCTTTTTGTTTGTTTTTGTTTGTTTGTTTTTGAGACATTGTCTCACTATGTACCCTTGGATGGCCTGGACCTTGCTATGTAGACCAGGCTGGCCTTGAACCTCATGAGATCCACCTGCTTCTACTTCCTGAGATTAGAGGTGTGTGTCAGCATATCTGGCTGTGTGGGACTTGGCTATTGAACCTTGGGGCTGCTATAATATTAATGTTTTATCTTTACTTAATATGACAAGCTGGACATCTGAGTGGAAGATGGAATCCACAAGTTTTCTTCCACATTGTGTCTATTTTTAAGCATGAAAATTAATAATAATAAGGTATTGAAAACAATGTAATGAAGGAGCTGGCATGTTGATAAATTCAGTGTTCTTTGGCCTGGTGCTGTGAATCCCAGGTATGTGACGTGAGATAGCATTGACATTAACGAGTATTTTTTTTCTCTGATGTAGCACACTGGAGATGATCAGACTTCGTGAGTAAGATGAAGACTGTGTCATGGACTCTGGGAGCGACGGACAAGATTCTTGGTGTCTAGAGCTCAGTCTGTTGCAGCGTGGGGTGTTGTGTTTGTTACTTAAAAGCTTATTTAAAAGAAGGAAACCACATGGGGCTGAGAAACAGTGTGTTTTCTGGAAACAGTGTCAGAGTGTGCGTTGAGTGTATGTCTGTATAGACAGTCCTATAACAGCAATAAGTCTCAAATCCGTGTGTCCTTCACATGTGTAAGGGACCTTTGCATTTTCATCCATAGACTGTAGGAAGAGAGGGTCAGTCTGCCTCAAATATCTGTGTTTGCATAGCATTCTTGCATATTGTTTTTTTGAGGTAAGTTTTGATTCAGTGGTAAGGGTGAACATGTTGGTTTATGTATGAATTAGAAACAGTTATTAATTTTAATGTGTTCTTTTTGGTAAAGTTCCTTATCTTAGACCTGTTTAAGCAAGTAAAAGCTAAATTTGGGCACTAAGGTTAAGTGATTTTTAAATTTTGTATTTACTTGGTGATAAGTCATTCCCTCAAGGTCCATTTGACATGAGTGGATCTTCGTAGCTTTGGATATACGGGGGCTGCGTTGCTGTGTGTGTTGTGGCCATAGATCACTCTGGGACCATCTGAAATCTCTGAGTGGTCTTTGCATTAAGTTAATGAAATATTACCTTTTAATAAGAATATTATTCTTGTGTAATAATGAGAGTAATTGCTTAAGTACTCGGCATAATAAATGCCTTTAAAACATTGTATGAATTTATTTTTTTCTTGTTATTATGGGAATATTGTAAATTACATATTTGTATTAAGGTTATTTCCTAAGACAAAGCAATATACTATAGACTAAACCAAATGTAAACTGTTGTAGGCAACTGAATTCTTTTGTAGTAACTGTAAATTTTGTTGGAATCTTTAGATTATGCTGTGAATACATTTGTCCATTGTTGGCACATTTTAAATGTCTTGTTTATTGAGTACGGGTCTTCATTAGCGTGTAGCTTGGCAGGTGTATAACTTTATATAAAGCTGCGGTTTACAAAGCATTAGATGTGTTTAGTCACAGTGCTGTGACAGCTTCGAGGCCACACAACCACAGGAGCATCTGTCGAATCGGAAGCGGGTCGAGGCTGGGGAAGAAAGGCGTGCTCTGAAGTCCTCCTCTTCCTTTGGATGAGTTTATTAAGTGCTTGTTTGCCGTCAGACTTCCCTCCATCTGTCACTCCACCTGACGAGGATGGCTGTACTTACTAAAGATCAGTTTTTATTTGATCAGAAAGATCGAAATCTTGAGGATTGGGAGGCTAATAGCATCTGTTGGGAGTAACCATGTTTTTGAGCCTGAGATTCTAAACTAGTAGTAATACTAGTAAACTAGGATTTACTTTTGGACTATGCAGGATGAAGCACTTGCCCCTCTTAAGGGTTTTCTTTTTACTTTATATCTTGGTCACAACCACCTCCCCCTTCCTCCTCTCTTCCCAGTCCCATTCTTACAAATCCCTCCCCACACAGTCCTCTCTCCTTCTCTTCAGAGAAGGGGAGGCCCTCTTGGGTACCACCGTGGGACATCTAGTTCTAGCAGGACTAGGCACATCCCCTCCCACTGAGGTCCAACCAGAGAGTCCAGGTAGGGGGAAGGGATCCAATGGGAAGGAACTGAGACAATCCCCACTCCACTTGTTAGGGGACCCACAAGAACACCAAATTGCACATTTGCTACAAATGTGTAGGGTCTAGGTCCAGCTCCTGCATGCTCCCTGGTTGGTGTCCCAGGTTCTGTGAGTCCCCGTGGTCCCAGGTTAGTTGACTCTGTGGGCCTTCTTGTGTCCTTGACCCCTCCTTCTTGCTCACTTCTATCCCCCACTCTTCCACAAGACTCCCTGGACTCTGCCTGATGTTTGGCTGTGGCTCTCTGCATCTTCCTCCATCTGCTGCTGGGTGAAGTCTCTCGGGATTCGATTATGCTAGGTTTCTGTCTGCAAGCATAGCAGAGTATCATTAATAGTGTTAGGCTGTCTCTCTCACATGGAATCGGTCTCCAGTTGGGGCAGTCGTTAGTTGAGTGTTCCCTCAGTCTCTACTTCATCTCTACCCTTGCACATTTTATAGGCAAGACAAATTTGGGGTTGAAGGTTTTGTGGGTGGATTGATGTCCCCCTGCCTCCCTCTCTGGAAGTCCTGCCTGGCTACAGGAGGTGGTCACTCAGCCTCTCTATCCCCCTCTGGTAGGAACCTCATCTAGGGTCGCTCCATAGACTCCCCATATCCTCTCCAGTCCCAGGCCTCCAGTTAGTTCCCAGAGATGCCCCCTGCCCCCAACACACACACTATTTCGTTTCCCCCTCTGAGTTTTTTTCCTTCCCAGTGAGAACATAGCAACCAATTTCTACATTTGATCAGTGAGACTTGGTGTGGCCATATGACCAGGTTCTGGCTGGTGGGCCGCACTACTAGAATGGCTCAGACATCCTTATCCCCTCCTCATTTTCATCCTTCTGTTGATGTTTGGAGAATTCCTTCCCTGGGGAGTTGGAAGCAGATGTCTACCCCCTCCTTAGAAGGTCCCAGTGGCGAACTAAAGGGTGATTCCACCAGAGTTCATTGTGATGAACAGTGTGTTTCTTGGCTTCCCTACACTGCATGCTAAACAAGCTGCTGAGCTCACACACCACATGACAGTTGAGAAAGGGTCTGAGAGAGGTTGCTGGTGAGTGGTGGTTTCTTTGTACTGTCCCCATCAGCCTGGATCAGGTGGCTGGATTGGATGCCACCACAGAAATGAGAGCATGGCTGTATCCTTCGGCCCCCAGTGTCTGCTCCTTGACTCACGTGGGAATAGAGGTGTGCATAGAAGTGAAGGCACACTGACTCCATCACAGATATGCCCTTTATTTTAACCACTCATCCTCTTAGTGTTTAGTGATGGTCCCTATAACCTCAAGAGGGAGGAAGGAAAGAACCGTTATGTACCATGTAACTTCCTGCTATGGATTTATAACCAAGGCTAAGCAGAGCAAAACAATCACCAATCTCTACTTGTGGTAGACACACTCTGCTTACCAGGGACTCTATTTGTTGTTTCCCAGGCCCCTTGATTAGTTGAGGTTGTATCTTTGTGGCTAATGAGATTGGGGTGAAAGGGCTGGCTATGTAACCGATTCTCCAGTCTCTTGTTCCATATTGTAGCATCTAGTAGTGCTCAAGGTGGTGGGGACTCAGGCAGCTGTGGAGACTGGGCAACAGAGTCCCTCTGCCTGGTTCAATGGGGCCAGACTGCTAGCAAGGTAAAAACAAAAACAAAAACAAAAACAAAACCACCAAACCTGTATAGATTGAACTTGTTGGCTTCCTGGTTAATTGGTTACTCTAGTGCAGCAAGCACTGCGTGGCAGAACTGCCTGCTTATCCAGCACGGCTGCACAGCCAATAGACCATAATTGGTATTTATTGTATTTATTTGGTGTTTGCATGTGCACCTGTGGAGGTCACAAGGACATCTTGCAGGAGCTGGTTCTGTCCTTGTATACACCCCGTGTATATAGTGGACCAAACTCAAACCATCAGACCTTTGTCTACCTTTATCTACTGAGCTAACTCACTGGCCCTGGAAAACATTTTCTAAAAAGTCTCAGCTCAGCAACTTTTCATGTTTGATGCCATTTCCTATTCCAAAGAAGTTGGATTCCTTGCCCCTACGGCAAGGTCACTAGGTGGGGCCATAAGGACTTTTGATTGCTGCTAAGTGTCCCATCTAAGTTGACAAGAAGCTTTGCACCTCCACCCTATCGTCAGATATGGGACCATGCCACCAGGACTCAGATTCTCAAGAGAAATAGAGAATTAATATGAAATCTGACTTTTAAATAAATATAAATTAAATTTAAAAGGGAGAAAAAACATATATGAAACCAAATTAAATATACTCACAGGCCATATACAGCCGAGCTAACTTTGGGGATAGTGTGATAATCTTCACACTAGTGGGACTCCCCCTGTGCCAAAGCCTAGCGGCACTAATACAGCAGACTAGCTCCTCTGAAAGCTTGCTTGGAGGTTCTGGAACCCTGTCAGCCCTTTCCACCAGTTTTCAAACAGCTTCCTGGGTTTCTTGAAAGGAGAGAGAAACCAGAATCTATCCTGAAGATGCTGACGGTCACCTGAGACTTTTAAAAAGGACCACAGACCTATGGAAAACATCAATAGCCAGTGTGCCTGAGTGAAGAATGGAGAAATAGTCAAAACAATCAAACCCAGCTCAATGAATCAATAGAGTTGATAGTCTTTGCTTGCCTGGTAAGAGCAAGAGAGAAGACTATGATTAAAGTTAGAAACAAAAGGGGGGATGTCTCTGCTGACAGTACTGAGCTGCGGCCATCACCGAGTACATCTGGATGGAGTCTGGAGCTCTGGCATCTGCCTAGGTGTTTGTTATCCTGCCCCATGACTAACCTAGTGCTTTCCTCAGCCCACGTCCCGTGAACCGTTCCTTCCACTCAGCATCGTTAGCAGCAGGGGCTGTCGTATTAAGCAATGAAGACGATCCACATCTCCATCTGGGTAAAACTCTTTGCAAATCATCAGAGTCTTACAGTGAGGCAGGAGGCTGAGTCATTCGTATTTCCACCTGTCCCACAGGAATAGTTCCTGAGGATAAAACAAGAGGCTCTCAGCCCACAGTGATCACTTGGTCATATAAGTAGAATGGGAAACTGTTCCTTAGGTGGCTAGAGGCCAGAGCTCAGGAAATCCAACCCCTAGGTGAGTGGCTCGCCTTAGGTTCGAGTTCTAGCCCAGGATAAAGCGCAGAGGCTCTGAATGGAGCAAAACAGTTATGGGAAAGGATGCAAATCTCAGTTCTTAGTTTGCTTAAAACAAGTTAGGGATGGTAAAAAGTACACAAAACACGCAACTAAGTTATGAAGTGGGCAGCCCTCAGGATGAGCAGAGGTCCGGCATGCTCCACTGTTAACACAAGTGCTTGTTCTGGAAAAAGCTGAAGAAAACAGGAAGAAAGATTGGTTGTGAAGTTTATGCTGACTGGAGGTATCCTTAACACTCCCCTGATTTCGCAGAAGGTCAGAAGTATGTGTGGCGTGGTGTGGACGGTTGGCAGGAGGCACTCTGACTTGATTTTTTTTCTTTTAAAAGTTCAATGGTCCCTGTAAAGGTTTTGAGAGATCCAAGATATGAGCTGGTAGTTTACTATAGTTGTTTGTTCCTAATTATTTTTATAGTTGAAACACATCCTGCTCTCTGTTCTGTTCCCTGAAAGCAGTTAAAACTTGGTAATATTTTTGCAGCTTTTTAATTATTAAATTATTTTATTTATTTACATTCTATGGACATATCACCCTGAGTGTGCTGGAGTCTTTGCAGTTTTAAATAGCTCTAGGATGATTCCTTTCACTGCGGGTTGGTCTCTCTTTGTTTAACTCGCATTTGGTCCACTAGATGGCAGTATACCAACGTATGTTGTATATGGAACTGCCGAGGGTTCTTCAGCTGCTGATTGCTAGGTCTTCCTGGGAAATGGTGGAGTTCTAGTTTGTCTTCAAATGATGCAGGGCTAAATTCGTTCCTCTTGTTGCTCAGTTAATTGAAATCCTTGTTAATGGATGGATAGATGCTGAGTGACTAGTGTCACAGTGACAAAGTACCTGCTTGGGTAAGTACAGCAAAGCACCTGTCACTTAGCGCATGACTAGTGAGGTGCTTCAGAGACTCGGGAACCTGTATGGCTTGTGTCTTCCCTGATATTGCCAAGATCCCAGGGTTATGTGAGTAGAGACGGGTGAAGCTGGAGAGACGGGTGAAGCTGGGACTCCCACAGGTGAGTAGTGTGGGAAGTGAAGGAAGAGCTGGCGTGGAGGTCAGTGGGTCACCACCAAGCAGAAGGTAACCTTGTCACTGAACCATGGCTACAGAGTTCAGGACGTCTCAGTTATCCAAACAGAAAATAAATGGTGTCTGTAGC